TCCGATCTCATCCTTTTCCCCAGACATGAAAGTTTCAAAGTTTCATGTTTCTCCTTGAATGAAACGTTTTCGAGTTGAGGTGCCCGCCGAGCATACTGCGCTTCAAACTAAAAAACTTTCACGAGCCTTGAAGAACCGGTGGGTTTGCCTCAAACTTGCAGGAAGGGCTATTCTAAAAAAGCCGTCTCGAATCGAGAGCATAATGCTATACAACAGGCCTACATGAAAACAAATGGGTAGGCCCATATAAACAACCTAGAGGCTAAACCGTTACGTTGGTTCGATAAAAAGGAATGGGATGTGGGAAGAAGCTGACCTGGATGTGCTTCCACTTTCTAGGCTTCTGTCGATGTCTTGTTGGAAACGTATAAAAGAAGACAGGAAGGGGAATGAGTGGCAAGGTATGAAAACAGCCACGTCTTCCGTGTGATAGATCGGGGCCTGAGCCGATTTTTCACCTCATCAGTGCGTTTCTTCACGCCCCGAGGCTCAACGAAAAAAGAAAGGACCCTCCAGGCCATCATTCACCTCTTCGTGGAACCGCGAAAAGGAGGAAAAAAATTTTAGGGGAAGACCAGACCGGAAAGGGTAAAAATGGAAAGGAATCTCGTAATATGAGGGGGCAGATGCGTTGAAAAACGAGATTGTTTGTTCAAAGCCGTCAACAATACCCGTGCCAGATGTTCAGTTCTGCCGGATTTTTCCGCTCGAAAAGAAGACAGATTCCCCTTTCAAGTGAAATGGTTCCTTTGTCGTTTGCTCACGTGTCGTGCATTATCCCTGTCATCATCCCTCGACGAAATGTCTCTTTCTGCCGCAATCCTCCATAAAGAGGGGATGCGATAGCCGACAATGCTCTTACTATTGGTGGTTGACGTTAGTTCGCACGGGTTTGGGAATACAGCCTGATGACTATTGCCTCGCATCAGGAAGTCTCAAATCTGGGGGTAATTTCTTAGTAAGTTTCGAGAAACTGTAAAATTTCACAATATGAGTCAGGAACCAAATTCGCAAAAATACTCCCAGTAACATGTCCGAAGCCTGCACGATCTTGGGAAATGTTACCTCGCTTGTGCAGCTTTTCCTTAGCGAAAACTAGTATGGCGGGAATTTTTACACTTCTAAAGCACTACGCCCAAGGAGCGTTCCGACCGATCGAAGAGTCATTTAAGATTTTATATTCTAAACCGATTCTAATAATCACGCAATAGACTTGGAAATTTCCTTTTCCGAAACGTCACTGCCGGCTCAAGAGTTCTGCTTCTGGACAAATAGGCTTAAAACACGCAGGCCTCTTGAACGATTTTTTAAATAGAATTTTCTCGTTTTGTTTCAGTGTTCAATATAACATAGAAAACGGTCTACCCCGTTCTCGAGTCTCTGTCACAGTTACGGTTACTGTCACGGTCACTGTCACTGTCACTGTCACTGTCACTCGAAGGGAGGAGATCTCGGGGAGTGAGCGACATGGGAGGAGACCGAAAACTGAGGAGGAGAGGCGTGGGCCTGCCCGCTTTTAGACGGGACAGGACCATGCTTGTCAGCCGCTATAGGGCGGGTGCTCTCTCGATCGTCTCTCCTTCCCGAGGCCCCACCAAAGAGGTCCCACTATTACGTCCATCATTTCGCCCACCGCTTCCACTCGTTCACCGAGATCGAGACGTTTAAGTACGAGAGCTGCCAGCCGATTAGCGTCGTGTTCGGGGGCTTCACCCTTTCCTGGGCAAAGTAGATCGACACGTTATTATCATAGAATCTAGAGAAAAAGTGGAAGACTCTAGGGACCCTAGCCAGTACTCGCGGAGAATCTCCGCATTTTTCTTTCAGGAAAACGAACTGGCACCACGGAAGAGAAAAAGTTGGTGTCGTGTCAATGTCGGAGGATGGGGCTCCACCTCGCCTTGCGCCTTCCGTCACTCAGTTTTTCGGAAACTTTAGCTGAAGACACCGTCGTCACAGGAACCGCCCGATGAATGTCCTACCGTTTTACCTACCTCTTGAATTTTTTTCGAGGCTCAGATTTCATTTGAAATCGAAATACGATCTCAAAGAAAGCGGAAGACGATCAAGATCCGAAATCTCACGGGTGATCGGGGTGAAACCCATTCTGCCATTTTGCAGCGTACTTCCGATCTCATACCTTTTATCGTCCTTGACAGTTCCAAGCTGGAATAAAACAAGCCTGTATGACATCATCTGATTTTTATTTGGCGTCTTCATGGAAGAGGGACGCCGACCATGTCAATTTTCCACCGCGTAGCTACGTCGTTTCAATCGCATTTTGAGATTATGGACAGTATCTGCAATCACAATTGCGAACCATCTCAAAAACGGCTGAGTACTAACTGACTGGGTCTCATCAGAGATGTACAGCGAACTTGAACTCCTGGAACCCTGTTTCGGGCGAACCCGAACCGAATCTTGAACTGGTGAATGCAAACAGAAGCGATAGAACGAACCCGGGCTGAACGCGAACTCGTTCTGAAGGGAGAAAAGTTCGCGGTTGTTTCGTTTTCACTAAATCCAAAGTTCATCCGAAAGTTTCCCGGATGCCTCGTTTTCCAATTTGATTTTGTATTCTTCCTGGAAACCAGGAAAATCAGCTTCAATCTAGGTTTAAAAAAATTCCGGCTGGGATATTACATTAGATGAATTGCAGGTTAATTCTCATCGTGTTTTTATTTTATTTTATTTTTTTTTATTTATTTTAAATAATAAATCTGTCCTGTTCTTATCTCATCATTAGGGTCATCTTTTCCACTTCCCTCCCCCCCAAAATAAAATTTTTTCCCCGCTCTCGGGATCATGATATTCCACGATTTTACAAAATTCAGCTGAGAAATTCTATCTTTTAAAAATGAATATTGAAAGCATGAAAAATATTTATAGTATAAATTTCCCCACAACTTGTAGGCACATTTACACGCCAACCAACCAATAAGCATTCGCAGCGTTCGGTTGCCCTGCAAGGTGAGGCTGGGGGGAAACAAGGAAATCTCACTGGTCGATCAAGCAGATAAGACAACTAGATAGTTAGTCTCGTATGTTGGGGCGTCCAAGCACGGTTGGCACTCAGAATTCCAGAGTGAAAATTCCGGGAAAGGCTGGGAAATACCACAAACTTGAATTATTTCGCAAATTTATGCTTTCAATTTTAATCATGTTCTTTCTGAATGCGAAATTTCAATTTTCGCGAAACATGGACTTTTCGTTTTTTTTTTTGGCCGAAATTAAGTTTACACGAAAATTCTTTTCTCCGAATGACCCTTCTCACCAGAACCAGGAATTACTTCTGCTCTTTTCCCGCCCAGTCACCAGTTCGAGCAGAGATTACTCACTCCTCATCCAGTCACAAGTCGATAGAAACATTTGAATCTTCGCGTTCAAGATTTTCAAAGAATTTTTATTCGAATTCTGGGCTCCTTGCTTTATTTTCCTTGAGAAATGTCGTCAAATGCAAAAATGTTCCTTTGATCGCGTAGCCTTTTGCCCCCCTCCAACTCCCCCTCGACCACCCCTCCTCCCTCACCCCCCTCCACCTTCACCCTTCTTTCCCCTCCTCCCCTCTCCCATCACTCTTCCGTTATCGACTATTGTCAAGAATTTTAGTCGTTTTCATCATCGTTGACAGATAACGTTGCAATGAAAGATCGGTTAAATTCAGCGCTTGAGATTTACAGGAAACACATATTAATTTCTTTTTATTATTCATTGCAATTCCTTCCATGAATTAAGCAAGGATGGAAGGTTTTTGCAACGATTCGCATAGACCGTGGTCATCGTGCAAGATGCTCTCGAGCTTGTAGAAATCCCTGTTTATATGCCTACTGCAATGCCGATCTGACAGAAGGCTCATGACTTGGTTATTTAGCTTGACCTAATGGCTTAGATAAGCAAGTCTAAGCAACACGGAGGTTGTGGGCTGGAAGCTGTCCGGTCGCTACTCTGGCGGAAGTGGTAATGGGGCGGCTGGAATACCAGATCAATTTACTTCTTAAGTCCCCATTAATAATTATTCGCCAAGCCCAGGATAAAACAATTTGATGCATGATCATCGAGGAGGATGGAATGGATGAAATTCCAGTTGCCATATTGTCTCCTTTGTCACTCTTACCATGGCATGAAAACAACCGTTATGATGTGGTACACACTTAAAAAAGAGTGAGCGATTTCCGAGAAAGGGAGCGATCTTACTCCTTAAGAGCAAGGAATTAATGCCGCTCACCTCTCTCTTTCCTGAGAATAACCACAAACTTTTTATATTATTTTGAAACGTACTCTCCTTCCTTCCTTTCGCGTTCTTAAAAAAGTTATGGATTCTGCTCATAAAGGAGTATTTATCAATTGTACTTCCTCATTTTTGGGGAGTAAAATCGCTCATTCCAGTTTCGCTCCCTTTCTCGGAAATCGCTCACTCTTTCCTAAGAGTGTAGCTCGAGAAGTACCGCATTAGTCAACAAAAATGACATATGTCATTGATACGGCTAGTCCTATAGAAACAGGGCTAGGTGCCTTACACGACAATATCTTTTTCACACAGTCTGGTGGATACTGATTAAATTGAGAAGAGACAAATCAGTTAGGAATAAAAATCGTTAAAGAATTACCGTGAACGAAACTAGAATAGATAAAAATATGCTAAAATGAAAGTTTTATTATGTGCATTAAAACGATAAGGATTCTCTATCTATTCTGTACGAATTTTAACTTCAGGAAAAATAGGGGTATCAGCGCGATCAACTCTCATTTCGATAGGTACGTCAAAAGGACGCATGCAGGTGCATCTACCACTCATAATTCCTGCCCCCAGCAAAACATGAAAATCTTCAAAACACGTAGTCAGATGAAACCTATCAAACTCGACTAAAAAGGTGTGGAAATCAGCTTCAAAGCGCTGCAGAAGAGCATGTAGAGGCCATGTAGGGGCTGTGCCATAAGAGCCATCTATAGTCACTAGCAAACAAGACAGACTTCGTGAAGCCACCACCAGTCAGCCGAAAATGGAGACGTGCATGTGCGTGGCTTCCGCTTCTCCGGCTCTTTTTCACTCGGGTTTATTTCTTATTCAACCGGAAAGTAAAGCCTGACCATGCAAAGGGTTGGTTTCCCATTTTTCAATTTCTGAGCCGTTGTTGGTTTTCATATTTTTTGTAGTTCATCGGTGGATGGGACCGTGGGAATTATCCCGGCAGGGGGAGAAGGAGATTTAGTTGCTGGTATTCGAGACATCATCGAAAAGTGCCTTCGATTGCTTTTTCCAGCTCGGGAGTGAAGTAAGGTTTGTGATAACCAGTGAAATGGTGAGGTACTAGCAACCGAGAATCATAGTGTCGTGAGTGAAATGAAGCTTCCTTGTTGAAATCGAGCAAGCTTTTTGGTCGCTGGACGAAAGAGTGAATTTTTGTTTTGTTTTTGATAACTTGAGTGATTTTCGTTGCCGATTGTCAACTGAAGAGGACTTCAGTGCTACGGACTTCAACAGTCAGCGATCAACGTGACTTTAGAGATGGATGCAGTGAAGGCATTCAATCAAGAGGTGAGCTGTTTATACTATACCGTCGTTAGGTTAGGCCTAGGATACGTGAAGCTCGCAAGGAATATGGGGTGGTTAATGTAAATGGATTGAGGGCACATTTTTGTGACTCCCTGTTCAGCAAATCCTATAACTATCAGTGACTGCTCTATTATGATTCCTGCACCTGTTCCTTAAGTGTTACCATTTTTGTTTATTGAAAGTGTTGTGAAAGTCTCACTCTGCACAGAACAGCAGGAATGGAATGAAGTGATGAAATTCATTTAGAACCTATCTCTTTTGATTTCGGGGCAATTAACATTTCATTTCAGGGTATAGTGAGCCATCCTGATTCATGAAAAAATTCCTGTTGTCAGAGTATGTAGAGTGTATTTGTTAGGATGAATCTCTTCTTCCTATTAGTATCACACTGACACATTCTGAGTGAACCAGGGCATGATTAGAGAAAGATTTAGGCGTGTCCAGGATGAAGGACCCTCAGCCATCCATTAAATTCCACAATTTCAAGTTCATGCATTCCCACCCAATATATAAATTAAGTTCTGGGTGCATTATAAAAGCAGGATGAAGTCAAGAGCTGCTACTTTTGAACAAATAACCAATACCATGGGGTCTAGGGCATGTACACTAAAAGGAACCAACATTTGTACATCCAATTGGACTTAAACATCAATGTCATTTCATCAATGTTTAAGAACAATGATGGATACCAAAAGTGCAGTTTATGGGCATAGGCTGAACCTACTTTAGTTGAGCATATGCTATTGCTCACTTTTACGGTCAACTCTTGATAGCTCGAAGTCCAAGCGACATTCGAGTTAATGAGACTTTGAATTATGGAGGATGGAGGTTTTTAGATTCTATACACTACAAAGCTGTACATACATGTATTCAGTATTCCAAAACGTGTAACACCTCCTCATTTAATGCATAATCACTGGAAAAAGTCAGTCAGAAGAGTTTGGCGTGTTTTCACTGCACCTTTCCATTTGACGATGTTCTCCGCATGTGTGATTGCGTTGAAAGAGGTTCAAGCATAGGCAACAAATTTTCATTTGATTCATTTCAACCATAGTGTTAAGTGTAGAGTATCCTCCCATCAACCTCTGGGGCTGGAATTTTTTGGTTTATCCCTTGACTGGGTTACATCTTCCAAGAAAAATTTAGAGGAAATCCATTTTATTCCTCTGAAATCTATGTGGGAAACCATAGGGAAATGTGTCGAATGTACAGGTGACTCGTTTCAGTAGAATTGTAGAAGTGACTTGTGACTATGACTACTTAGGCTCCATCTCATGCCGATTTTTGGAACCTTCTCAGCCCATTAACTGCATGTATGCTACTGGTGCCATGTGTTGCCCAGTGAAGGGACGATGAATGGTGCAACTGTGGTACAGATGTGATTAGGCCAGCTCAGTTAATTGCTGGAAACAAGTGAACTACCCCAGTTATGGGCTGATGATAGATCAAGAAAAATGTTTGAGTGGGTGCACCCATGACTGGTCAACAGAGGGGAAAAATTAATTGTCCTTATGAGACTTTCAAAGGGAAACGTAGTTTCTTTGAGTTAGAGAGAAATTAGAGTTAAAGAGGTTCAGGTTATTGAGAGTTGACTAATATTTTGCGTAGTTACACATCCAAACTGTATGTTCAATCTAACTAGCTATGTAAGTGATACTTGCAGATGTCTCTGATCTCGGACTGGCACAATACATTGATATATCATTGTCGCATTGATATTTGGTAGCATTAATTGGCATTATATAGCCTCCCAGAAGTGGTAGAATCCAACTGCTCATGCATTTTGCTAAAACCTGGGAGATGACAGATCAAGTCCAGGTGGTGATGAGCTCTTCTCTGCCTACAGGTGATCCACCTGCCTTGTGGGAAGTATCTGCCTAGTGTCAGGGTAACATGCACCACTATATGGGCATGTCTAGGAGACATGAATGTTGTATACCTTAAAAGTCATTCATGCCTGTTATGGGTCTGTGCTACCTGTGAGCTCCTATAGGATCACACTTGGGCATTCCTGCCTGAGAGACTGTGATTGGGTGTAGTGCCTGTGCCATGCAAGTACCCTCTTCCTGTTTTTTTTTGTTATAAATACTTGATGTGTACCTGCTGCATGTCTAGTCTTCTCTTGGGAGAAAAAGTAAGAATCAGTAAAATCAAAACTTGCAGCCTACCTCCTACTACACAATGAGACTATCTCAGCCCTGGAACCCTTTATCCTGAGCGGTGAGATGACAGAAGTTACTAATATAATTTTCCTTCCATCCCAATTTACCTATTTTGGCTTCTTGTGCTTTCCTCTTTGAGACCACATAGCAGTGCCCAATAGACTGCAAATCACACACGGCTCTGCATCTGGCCTGATACTTTCTCTAGGGTTGTTTCTATTCTTCCTTGCCATATTTATTGTCAATGCATTACTGTATTATCAATCAATGCATTACTGTTTCTAAACAGCCATCATGAAAGCCATTCATTTGATCTGTACTTGATGCATTTCCATGTTGTCACACATGCAATTTTGCATCATCCCTGCTAATGCTCCAACCTTTTGGAGATGTTAGAGAAGTCTTCCAATTGTTCACTATGCAGTCTATGCCTCTGCTCATCCATCGATCTAGATAAATCTTTATATTCCACCCAAACCTTCCCTCCCCCCAATGGACATTTAGATTGTTTATCATCAATCATCCATGGCCTTGGATGATTGATGTGTAAGCAAAACAGATAATATCCTGTAGGGACAAGTCTAGAATTTTGCTCTGCACCTTTACTTGCACCCTACTGAATTGAGTTAATTGCATTATTTTACTTTTATTGGCCATTCATTTGATCTTTAGAGTTTTGAACACCCAAAAGTTGGGAGGTCATCTAGAGATGTAGCCATCATCCATTTGGACTATCTTTCTATGAGATCTGTTAGTCATGGATGAAAACATGTTGGCCAAATACTGAAGATGCCAATATGGCAGCCTCCCATGACGGTACTAGGCTGTCTGAATTGGTGTTAGGTGTGTGCAATCAGATGTATTCAGCTAAAGGTCATCCACCATCACTTGAATGCCACATAGTGGCATGAATATTTTCTGAAAGAAATTGATTTTAAAGGGTCTAATCTATTCATCTCTTCTTGGTGATTGATGCTGACCATTTCTACTTCCTTTTTTGGGAAAAAAAAACCAAAATATTCCTATATGACACTCATTTGAATGCTTATGAAATTATATTTGAATGAAAGCAAATAATTAAGATTCCTTAATTGCATAATGTCACATGACTAGAAATGATGAGAAATGCCAATGTTGATTTTTTTTTTTTCAAGACTGAAGATCCAGTCATCATGGCCTAGGCTTATCTTAGCTTGAAATTTGGTCTGTTATTGGCATCGATGATTATGTATGTCTGATAGGTCCAGACAATAATGTTGGGCTCTCCATCTTTTGCATTCTAAGCCTCAGAACTTAAGGTTCAGGCATAGTGTTGTCATAAAAGGGGGTCTTATAGTTAGATGGCATGCTTTGATGTTAGTAATAAATCTATCCTCCAGTGGTTCAATGGTTAGGGTCTGGAGCTTACAGGGGGGCCTGGTTTTTATCTAAGCCATGACAGGTAGTGCTCTCAGCCAGCAGTTCATCAGGCTCCATTTGGGTATTCTTGTTTCTCTTGGCATGGACCACTCAGTGCATTATGGTGTGAGGGGTCAGGGGCACCTTAATGGGACTTGCCACATGAACCCTGAGGGCCTGGAGCTTGAGTGGCATTGGTGTTGGCATTGTATTCTCTTTGTGGAAATGGGATAGAGTGATGATAGTATAGGAAGATAACTGGTAACTGGATCAATTATACCAAATAGGGGTCACTCTCCCTCCATTGTGTTGATCCACTCATGGCATTTGTCCTTATCTATGTTTGTCTCTTCTAGTCCACACTTTATTAAAAGAAGAGAAGAACACTTCACTTCACTTCACTTCACTTTGTCTACACTTAAAACAAGTCCACCTTGGCTACATCTAACATTAATATTTTGAGTTCAGGCCTAATATTATGCCTACTCAAGTAGCCCTGTATATTCTAGTGTTAGGTTATGGCTCAAGCATATCAGAGGTGCTTATGCTTATTCAGGGAATGGCAAATTGCATATAGGCCTGAATGCATGTACCTCATCTGGACAAGATAAAGGGACCTTTAAGCTAAAGTGTTCTTTATCTCCATAGGAGTTCACGTATTCTTAAGGGACCATTAAGTAAAGGAGGTTTCAGCATATGAGGCTTAATATTTTGTCATCCTATATACTTTTACCATACATGCAAATATTAGAGACCAACATGCCTTTTTTAAAATGCAATTTTTCATAATAGTGGATGAAACTGTGTTGGCAACTGTAGGTCAGATTTTATAGGGCCCAAGCCCAGAATCCAATTAATGCAATTAATCCCAGCAGAGTTTCTGGTTAAAGCATGGATTGAACAACGTTCTCACCTGCATTACATGTATTTAAAGGTGTATAATCTATTCCCAACCAAAATTCTCTGATACTTCCAAATAAGACGGCTAATAAGTTTGGACAGATGAGGTTTTGGGCAGTAAATTCTAGGATTTTGCCCTCACCCATAACAGAAGGGTTGTCAATGCATGATATGGATTTTAATGCATTTTCTTTGTGTGAGTGTCCTGTGTATGTCATGGGAGGATTCCAACAGAATCTGACAACCTTGCACATTCTTTCCCAAAAGGGTGGCACTCACACCTCAATTCCAGTTAATCACTATATGGCTACTTACAATAAAAGTGTTAGGGGGATTCCATATCTGAGAATTTTGGTCAGGAATAAACTATAGATTCAGAGTATAGGGTTGTTAGACCTGATGTGATATACTATTTGGCCTTGACAGGACAAACCTTTGCATCCTTCTAGTGGTAGCTGGTCTGCTTTGAGCATATTTGGTGGGAAACTACTCTGTTTCCAGATTGAATTGAGTTGAACCCCCCCCACCCCCCTTAGATGCATGCTTCCATCAAGTGCAGACAGGACATCTTTTGGATGGAAGGTGAAGTATTAGGAGAATCCTCCAGGGTTTTCTAATTCTTGATCTGTGGAGCCCTACATGGTTGCTTAGATTCAGATTAGTGAAACTCATGATTATATAGATAATAAATAAGGTAATTTGGATTATTTCTTCCTTACTGATTAGGCCTGAGACATGATGGGTAATTGAGAATGTTGCATGCTAAGGATTGCATCTCCTTGAATTGTCATTTTTGTCAGGAAGATCCAGGTTTCTGATGGCAGAGAGAAGAGTCAACCAATGTAACAAGGAATAGTAGTCAGTAATGGTGAAATGAGGGCAAGAAAGTAAGGTTTTTCAATGGACAGAGAATGGGAAATAATAGAGGCTAGCTGTAGCTACTGGAGGCAAAGCTGAGAGTCTCTCAACTGCAATTGAGCATGTTTTTGTTTCATCTCTATTGTTATTTGCAATGCTGGGTCCATTCCCTATGAGGTCAAAACTATTTTTTTGCATTGGTGTTGGGTCTTTCTCTGCTAAGAAAGGCTGAAAATGGACCACAAAGAGGCATTTGCTGCATGTGGCCACCCCAATGTTTTCAGATGACAATTATCTGTAAATAGCCTGAAATGCTATGATAATTGCTATGAGAAGTTATTATGATATGAAGTCACAAAGTCTCTGCCTGCTGAGGGGCCAGCAAGCTTCAGTTATGTTCGATAATATGCAATGCTATTCAAAGATGGGATACCATTTTCCAAGAACATGGTTGTTCTTGTTATTAACTTCATTTTATTGCCAGTGAATAAAAGCTTATTTTCTTCTCTGTAGCCATCCCAAAAGTGGAATAATCACCAATGATCTGATAACCATGCAGGGCAATAGGCTTGACATCTTGCAAATACTCTAGAAATCTTGTGTTTTCCCCATTCTCCACAATGCCAGGGGAGGGATACAAATTCAATCCAGATACAGTGCACTTCAGTCAGAAGATCCATGTTTGTCCAATTCAGAGTGCTGCATTAATGTGTGCCTACATCCTTTTTATGCAAATCATTGTTATATGTGTATCTACTGAGGCCTGTGAAACCGTTTCCTCCAGTATTGCATTTCATATGAAATGGTATTTAGTATATCTCCCTGATTTGAAACACACTAGTTCTAATACATATATTGAGTTGTGTGAATTCATCACCAAGTCACTATTTTTGCCAGCTGCTATGCCTCCAGTTACCTTTGGCTGACTCCTCCCCCTTCTGGGTGATTTTTCTACAAAGTATTTGTAATTTCCTTTAGCCTAAGCACACTTTTGTGCTTATTTGCCCCTTCATTGCTGTTGTGGATTTCCTCCTGCTATTTTACTCTTATAATACAATGACTTGCAGTCAGGAACAAGTATGCAAGTTCTTGGTGGAGCAGCTGGTTGAATTGTTCTCTCACTTTTCATAATTCATGAATAAGTGAGAAAAATTTATATGTTTAATTAAGATACATCATTGACCCATTCAGCTTCAGGGGCCTCATTCTATACATGGTAATGAATGGGACACCCTAGAGAATAATTGACTGAATTATTTCTAAGTATACATATTTAAACAGTGTGTAGCAGTTCCATATTATGCTTAATGGAGGACAGCTGAAGTAAGCCCCCAATTTTGTTTGGTGCATACATTGTGAAGAGAATGCCTTTTTTTCCCTCTAAGTTTCTAAGTTATTAGAATTCCTACCTTATTTCCAGGATAGTGTAGGATAAGTGTGAATGACTGAGTCAGATTAACACTGCTCAAAAGTCAGTCCCATTTTCATCAACCTTGATTTGGAAATTTGTTGCTCTTTTGTCACAGCTGAGCTCGGTGTACCAAAGCAAGCCTCCCATCTCGAAGGTGAAAATGACATCCATCACCAAGAGTGCCATCAAGGCTATCAAGTTTTACAAGCATGTTGTGCAGAGTGTTGAGAAATTCATTCAGAAGGTGATGTGACTTTTTTCTTTGATGGCTATTCTATCAAAAATGAAAATAGTTCATTCATGGTCCATCTGATTTATCAAATTTTAATCAATGCATAGTTCTGTCTCTGAATCTAGTGTTGGTATTATTTTAAAGGAAGATGTGAAAATATCTAGTGGATTACCACTCCACATCCACTAGACAACAATGCTGCATGATCATTGCTTTGCAGATAACCTCCTATTACCTGATCCAGTCAATCTTTGGTTTTTTGGCACCTCAGAGGTGCTGACAGAAAATGGCAAATATGTTTGACTTTGGTAGGATCCATTAGATAGATTTTTAAAGGTATTTATTATGGATAAGGTATGATTAATTTTTAATTCTAGTAAACTTTAGTTGGGTTATGGATATATCCATCAGTCAGAGTGGCAGCCCTATGATTTTCTTGTGTATTTATAGATATTATTCATCTGCATTCCAGACCCTGTCCAGGTTGAGTTGATTCATTCTACAGTTACAATTATGAGAGTCAATGCTTAGTTTTTTATTTATTTAAAGAAAACTATTCAAGAATCTAGTAATTTATATACAGACATAAGGTTACTTGGTGGTGTTCAATAATGAAAATTTCAGAATTTTAGCATGAATTTCTCCAAGGCTTTTTGGAAATTTGAGGGGAACTTTTTCATTAACTATGTTGATATTTGTTTTGTTAAAGCATTCATGATCATTATTGGCAGCCTTGGTTGTTGTTACTATTCCTAATGGAAACATGAAATTTTTGGTGTGCAGTGTAAGCCAGAATTCAAGGTGCCTGGTTTGTATGTGATCGACTCAATTGTGAGGCAGTCCCGGCACCAATTCACACCTGAGAAGGATGTGTTTGCACCACGGTTTGCCAAAAACATCATGGTCACCTTTGTGCACTTGTTCAAGTGCCCATCAGAAGACAAGGTTACCCAAGAGTCTCATAGAAAGCTTTTTCCTGCTAAAATAAATTCTCTTTTTAACATGGCCTTTGCATGTGTATGCAGAGCAAGGTGATTCGAGTACTGAACTTGTGGCAGAAGAACAGTGTTTTTCAGCCAGAAGTGATTCAGCCCCTTTTTGACCTAGCAGATCCTGGTCACCCAATGCACAAGGAGGTGGAAGCCAAGATGGTTTGTTTGGTTTTTTTTCCTCCTCCCCAATGACTTGAGTCCATTTGAGACCATGAAATGGCTGAGCCCAATTTTTTAAAATTGTTTTGTGTATGTTTCAGATGGCTAAGCAACAACAGAAGGGCCCTGGTATCTCAGTGCGCATGGATCTTTATTCTGATGTAAACATGGAACTGGAGCAGAATGTTGTAGGTCTCTTTCTGACTGGTAAAAAGTATTTTATTCCTGTTGTTTTTTTTGCAGTCTTTCTCTTCCTCTTTCTGTATTTATTGCAGAACATAGAGGGGACTAATCATAGTTCCCAGCCACTGGAGCCAAAGCTCTTGCAAAAGCTTCATGAGCTTCAGCAACTCTTACAGCAACAGAATGAGAACCAGCAGACATCACAGCAGCAGACTCTGCTTCACCCATCCCAAAATAGCCATGAGGTGAGGGAATCAGTGTTTTTTGCAGGAAGAGTTACTTTGGTGAACTATTAGTTACATACTTAACTCTTTCCATGATTCTGCCTCCCACATGAGTGGAGCAAGCTGTATTTCAAGTCATCCCAATAATGTATTGAACTAGGAGTTATGAACAACTGAGCAAAGTCAAGTATATATCTTCATATGAGTGGAGTTAGACCTGATTTAGACTAATTGATAAACATGAACAATGTGGACAAAAACGTGGAGTGGATGAATGGTAGATGAGATACATGCTGTACTTGCTTTGTTCATGGAGATGAAAATATTGAGATTAGCAGAGTGAATGTTATTCCATTCATGGGAAGAAATTTCTGCATTCAACTTGGGTTAAGTGAAAGTCCATTTAAAACTAGATCAGAGAAGGAAACCTGATATTTCTGCTAGATTTCTGCTCATGGTTAAGAGTTTCTATAAATGTGAATAATCACTTTTACCTGAACAGATGGAGTGATGCTTGGAGTATGTTAATGTGGGGCCATTATCCGGTTATCTTGAATGAATATAGTATGCCAGGTGTAAAGTGAGCAGTTGTGACCATGAACAAAATCTAGATTCATTTTTTAATTCCTTTTCAAACAGATTCTGGAATTGTGGGTGATTCACACCTTGTTTGAATTATTATGAGATTTAAAACCAGGTCTTATTTAGCTAGCTGGAAAAATGTTAGAGAAGGCTAAAGTATAATTTATAATCCTTATTTTTTCTTGCAAGAAGAAAAGCCAAACTTTCCCTGAGATGTTGGATATTACTCTTGATTCAAGATTCCACTCTGAATTTTGACTCATTTCAGGAGTTGAGTGAAGGAGGGATTTTGTGTCTAATTACAGAATTTTCTTCTGGATTTAGGATTGTGCTTTTGAAGTTTAAATCTTATTCAAGGAGTCATAATTTTAATTTTATACAGATATTCAAAAAGAATGAATGGGTTCTGGGATTTGACAGCTTGATTTTGGTTACACTCAAGAGTGAGAAACCAATGGGGAATGGTTTTTGGTTTGCTCGTATTGAAGGTGATTACCATGCACAGCAATTAAATGAGGCCTACATACGTGGTTATGATTCTTGCAATGCCCTTTATATTCAAGATAGGTTTATTATACCATTTGGCTTAGCCTGGTATTTTCTCAACTAATGTCAGTTCTTTTTCCCCTTGTACAGGCTCCCAGCCAGTTATTAGTCTATTGCTATAGGAATCATTTTGATGTTTCCATTGTAGGCCCAATGTTTTTTTAAAATTTTATTTGTAATTAAAATATTAAATTCATCAAAATTATGCACTCACAAGTCTCACTGCAAGTCTCTCCTAAATGCAAATTTATATGAATGTTGTGCTCTTGGGCAGCCACCAGTGAAGTTCAACCGGAAGCTGCTGGACTTTGACTATGGGGAAGAAGATGAGGACGACCGAACATCCCCAGGCTCGCACTCACATCATGGCATGACCCCACAACAAACACAGCAGCATCATCACCCTAATCAGACTCAGTCTCAGTCTGGCATTGGGGCAAATGCACAAATCCTCGATCAAGCACTTGGCCAGTCAGTCTGGTCTCTGCCTTATTTCCCCTAGCTGTAGTTTCTCATGATTTTCTGTGAGCAGACTGTCTCACTTTAGGTGTAGTGTAGGACTGTTGACAAGTACACATCACCAGTTCTGACTCTGAGATTTAAATACTGCATTAAGGAAACTTGTAAATTTTGCTATTTTAGAAGTTAGTACTCAGTATCAGCAAATAGAGAAGAAATTCAGGAAATGTATATGTTTTTTGCAAAAGGAAATTCAAGCTGCACTTGAATTCAATAGTTATGACTTTCTCATTTTATCAGCAGCATCATTTTATTTTGGGATGAGACAGAAATCTAAGAAATGAGTGGTTTGAGCTTGAAAGAGAGACAAGAGCAAAGATGGAGACCAGTGGTGATATAAAAATAAAAAAAAGTTAATATGGGAGGAAATGAACATAGTGGGGATGGAGATCCCCATTAACATATATTTTCTATACCTTCTCTTTTCCACTTTCTTATATTACCTTGTGTTACAATATTGCTACTTCCCATAGGTTGTTGTCAAATCCAGATTTGCTGCGTCAGCTGCAGGGTCTTCAGGGAAGTGTTCCATCAACAGAATCTGCTCAGGCACCCATCTCCCATGCTCAACCTGCTCCACCTCCCCCCAATGAGGACTCCAATTCAATGGTAAGCTTGGAAACTGTCAGAGGCAAATATATCTATATTACTGATGGTGGATGTTTTTGAATTTGCTGAAAAAAGTGTCATCCGTTAATATTGCCTTTTCATCTCCTGAAATAAAGGTGACTAGTGTCTTGGAAATCTAATTTTCGTCTCCAAGGAAAAAAAAAAGTCATAACCTGGAAGTTACCAACCTTTCCTAGGTTATTGACAACCTTTAATAGATTTTACAAATTTGTTTTAAACTTGTTTGTGATTCCAATTTCAGAGATTGGCAATATTGCAATACCAATCAATGTTTGATTGGTGATATCATTCCCATCAAAACTCCTATACAGCCTTCCCCTAGACTCTGAAAAATATCCCTTCATAAATTACACGAGTGCTGTGCATGCACTCATTGATTTCTTTGAACTGGGTCATGAGCACCCTCTAATCTGCTAGCCTGTATAACAAAACACTTTTGTGATTGATGATGGGTTGCAGCCAGTGCCAAGGGAAGCGAGTCCACCTCCATCCATCAGCTTCCCACCCTTCAATCACACTGGTGACTTCGATCATCGACAGATATATAGCACTCCATTTGGTGTTGATACCAGTCGGCCTCCTCCAGGTCAGTCTTGCTTTCTGAAGGAGCTGCCCTTTTCACATCACATAGTCACATCCTTCAGCTCAGTTGATTTGTTTCCAGTCATTGTAGAAATGTGCTAGCTTAGAAAGTGCATGAAATTGATGTGTCCAGAGCAAGTCTCAGCATAGTATGCAAATAACAGTTCTAAGAAAGTTTGATCAAAAAGCACTTCCTTTTGCAAATAAAAGTTTCTTTTATTTGGAGAACATAAATCATTCTGTATGAGAAGCAAGAATGAGATATTGCAATATGGCCAGCTGTTTTTATTGCATAATCATAAATTATTGAGGCACAGTAATTACTATAATTCTCATTGAAAATCTTCATTATACCTACATTGTCTGGAAATGACTTATGTTGGTGACCTCCCCTCATGATCACTTGTCAGGATATGTCTTGGGAGATTCTCAGGTGCAGGGAGAGACACGGGATGACATGATCCCTGGGCAGGATATCCCCGAGCCAGATCAAGAAGCCAGGCATCATAAGAGGTCATCCTCTCCACCTCGTAGTTCATCTCGGAGTCGGTGAGCTTATCAATCCAATCTATCTTCCAATTTCATGACATTCCTGTGCCTGCAGTTCCAATGTTGCACTGGTTCTTCTGCATGGCTAAAGACCTTGATGCCTGAAACAGGCAATTTTGTGTGGCTAAGAAATGATTTTTCGTGTGTTCACAAAATTATTCTTTAGTTATTTGAGTTTGGTATTTGTGGACTTTATTTTTTGAATGAAGCAATTCTCGTGTTTTCGCAAGTTCATCTTCTGACTCAGCTGCACTCCAGGACCAACCAAAGTACAGTGAAAACTCTTTAACTCGAACTTTTAGGGACCGGGCAAATCATTTCGAGTTATCCAAAGTTCGAGTTATCAGGAATCGCCCCCCCCCCCCCAAAAAAAAAAACAACTTATGTTAAGGGACATAGACAGAATGGCTTGGAGTGATAGCAATAGATTGACAGAGCGAATGTTGGAGGCTTTTTTTTTTATGGCCAAAGCTTTTCGGTTTTAATGCTCAGGTTTAATCCTCTCCACAGGCATCTGTGTGGAAGGAGGGAGAAGCAGAAAAAAAAAACACAAAAGAGCAACCTCCTGAACAGGTTTTTTGTCATTCATTCTATTCAAAAATCGAAAAGTCCCAAGAGAATAATTTTTCCGCCTTCTCACACTGAATTCGAGATAAGCGAATTCAAGTTAAACAGAGCTTTTAACATGGTGTCCTATTGGGTTCCGCCGGGACCAAGCATTGAACTTCGAGATAAGTGGAATTTCGACTTATGAGGATTCGAGTTGATGAGTTTTCACTGTATATGAAAAATAAGTTACATTAGGAGGAGGAGGAAGATAGGACAGTTGGGTTAGGAGATGGAAGATTGAAAGATTCCTTTGCTTGATGTTCTTGAGTCAAAATTAATTCCTTGATTATAAAATATGCCAAAATAATTCAAAATTAAGTTCTAAATCCATCAACATTTTTAGTGGATTTTGCCAGCATGCTTGTCTCTCTCTAATGAAATGTTCAAATGGCATTTCAATTGAATCTGACCAGTTTTGTGTGTTTTTCATTGAGTTGCTATTTTCACTAGCTTATGTTAGAGTGAATTTTTCATAATAATTGAAAAGACATTAAAGTTGCAATCAAACTGAATGCCTGTTTTTCTCTCACCAGTTTCAGTGTTAACATGTTTAAATTTGTGATCTTGTGATAAGAATCTCATATATGAGTTGTGTTCAAAAAGTGATGTTCACTGCAACCTAGCTCCATCATCTTTTCTATGCAAAAATGATGTGTTTTTTGTTTTTGGAATGCAGAAACATGAAAGAATGAAGGTAATGCTGTCAGATTAGTCAAAAGACATGAATCTTATTAGAAGATAGAAATAAAGCCTTTATATTTATCGTGTTTAAAATGCCCCATTCAGGTGGAAAGCTGGAAACCAATGAAAATTCAGCTCATGAATTGGGTGACCTATGACTAAGGCATTAAATGACCTATGATTAATCAATGAGCAGTCCTGATTTCAGGCGAAGAAGGCATACCCGCTCCCGTTCTCGAGAGCGCCGGAATCACCGTTCAAGAAGCCGATCTCGGGATCGTGGAAGACGGAAACGATCCCACTCTCGGTCTCGACGAGATGAATCACGGGAGCGGGAGAAGGAGCGCCAACGAGAATGGGAGAGGGAGAGACAAAGAGAGAGGCGGAAAAAGGGATTGCCCCCCATTCGGGATCGCCATGTCAGCAGTGAGTTTCTGTTCATGTGGCATCAATTTGCTGCTTTGCCAGTTTCCATATTTTGTCACTTTTTCTAACCCACATCAAAATAATAATACAGTTTATCTGTGCATCTATCCACAAGCAACTCTATAAATGGTCTCTAGGATGTGTCCTTGATTTTTGGCTCTACATTGAATTGTTCCATATTTAAATACTGTATTGTATTTAATTTCAATGCCATGGTATTCAATTACTGAAAATTTGGTATTTAGGTAAATTTACAGTCATTGATGGTTGTACACATCTAGTATAATTGACATGAAACATGAGTTTTAGAAATTCAAGTGTTATTTCTCATGTGAATGCTATGAGATAGAACTCGGCTAGGATTAGGATATAGTGAATATTTTATTCGTTACTGCTAATTATTATATTTTGGAATTGTCATCTGGACAGTCTGCAGTACAACCCTGTGGGTGGGGCATGTGTCCAAGTTGGTGCATCAGGATGAGCTCAGCGACTTGTTTGGCCAATTTGGGGAAATTGTGTCTATTGACCTTATCCCTCCACGTGGCTGTGCCTTCATATGTATGAGTCGACGCCAGGATGCCCACCGTGCCCTTCAGAAGCTCAAAAACTATAAGCTCCAGTCCAAGGCCCTTACTGTGAGAATATTCATATCTATTGCCTTAATTTAGAATCCTCCATCCTGGGGGAAAGCCACGATTGGAAGGAAAATAAAATAAAATTTCAAATCCTTAGTAATATATTTTTCATTACTGGCTTTTCAATCATGTATTTTTTCTTAGGATCTTTCCACATTGCTCGAAGGCAATGCTTTACATTTATATTATATTTTTTTAGAATTTATTTAAATCAATTAATATTCTGTTGATACCTCTCTGACAGGCAAATTTGCAAATGTGCACATCCCTGTCTCCCTTTCCTATCCTCACTATTTCTCCATGTCTTGCTGTCTTGTGACTGATTTTGTAAGGACTCTTGTTCAGAATGGGAAGCCTCCCATAGATCTAGTATAAAATGAAAACCTAGAAAATAAAACAATAAGATATTAGAAAAGAGCCTGCCTGTTTCCCTTTTAGCAACATTTTTTATTGTGAAACTTCAAGTCTAAGATCAGATCAGGTATAGTCATCCTGTACTTAGATTGTTTTAATGGTTTTTGAGAAGACCCCTCTTTCAATTTTTTTAATTGATGTCATTCAAATGAATGTTCATTAATATAATATTAACTGATGTTATATATGTTTTAATTTGTATTGTTTCAATCAAATGATCCAGCATCTGAGATGTGCTACTATTATTTGTCAATGTTTTTGTTTAGATTGCTTGGGCTCCAGGAATTGGGGTGAAGGGGAAGGAGTACAAAGACTATTGGGAGAGTGACCTTGGAGTTTCCTATATCCCATGGGATAAGGTATCCCCTGACATGGAGCTTGGGAAACTAGAAGAAGGTGGTATCATTGATGAAGAAACACTCCCTGACTGGCTTCGAGGTCCGTATTCTGACTCCAATAAGTTCAAGCTAGCATTTTGATGTTTTGTTGGGAGACCGTTAGTTTACTTAGGATGTTGACTCCTGTGTGGGCTTAGGTTGGTGACTAGTTTTTCCTAGAGTGTATTATCATTTCTGTAAGCCAACTTTTTCTTTACTATTCATTCATTTATATCCTGTTAGAATCTTAGACTCATTTTACCATTGCATTTCCCCCCAAATGTGTACCTATTTTACAAAGTTATTCTGAAAGTTCTTGTATTGTCCTTTATGAACAGTGGAACATAATAGTTGCCCTGATGTGTATGTGAGTCAGTGGTAGCACAGAAACAGGGAAGCTAAGTCACACTGATGAGATCTTGTCATGAGTAGTTATGGCTTGTTTTTCAGTTGACAGGTTATCTTGTTAGAAACACCCAAGGGGTTGCATTCTTTATTTTTCTGTAATAACATAATTATGCATAAGCCTGTTATCATTCAAATGGAATTTCATTTTTCATTTGGTTCCACTTTGTGCACAGCTGCATATGATGGCCTACGCGAGCAGCAGCAACAAGAACTGCAAAAACAGCAGCAGCAGGTGCAACCTCAGGAGGTGGATCTGCAAGCATCTCCCATAATGCCACAGGGTGAAGCACTGCTTCCTGTCTTGCCACCCACTACAATTGGAATCAGTCAGCAGAACCAGATACCTATGCCACAGTCAACACCATTGTCCAACCTTGGGATCCCCATGCCTGCTGATGTTGCAGCCACTATTCCCCCATCTCGGCTACCTGGTCTCCCACCTTCACCGATGGTCAACCCATTCCTGCTACAAGGTCTTGTTATATATTGATGTCACTAGGGATAAATATTTATCCATAACTGATAAACTGATGCCATAAGATGACCAGTGAAACTGATAATGATAAATCATACTGTATGTATGGATTAGGCACTCTCAATTGGGAATGGGTTCCTGACTCGGTAAGGAAAGACTTGTGTGATTGGGACTGGGTTTGCAGCCTGGTTTGATACCAGGTTTGGGAACTTTTGAAACTGTTTGGAGAGTGTTTTTGGTGTCTTGACACCCTCCTTTAGCAGCCTTAATGAACAGGACTGAGATTGTGGATATCATGACTTGTTAAAACCAGCCTGTATAGCGTTTTACTGAACTTGTGCTTAATCAAAATACTGTCCAAATTGATGGACTATTCTCGTTTCCTACTGAACATTCGACAAAGTTTCTCAATATGATATTAACTTGGGCAGCCACTCTGACTAAATATAGTTGACTCATAATGAAGTTGATGAAGCCACCAAAAATATTTCATTATATTGGGTTTTTGTTATATCAGGAGAGTTGTATATCTCCAATTAGATAAATGAATCCTGTTATGCCTGTGTATATATGATTATTATCCTGTGGGTGTACTTTGGGGTCCCTACAGCTTTTGAGAGTTTCATGGATGACAGTACTTTAACACATATGCTATCACATATCCACTGGGGCATGTGGTGCTGCGGTTAAAGTGTTGAAAATTGCATCGGCAACTGACATCTTAACCCTTACGCTGTGAAAAGTGGCTTCATTTGCTTCCTGCAACATTGCCATTGGTTGCGTGCCAAAATAAATTATGCTGCGAAAGGGTTAAATAAGTAAAAGCTACTACAGTGTAAAGAGCATGGACCTCCTGAAGCCGAAATGAAACTTGCATGGGATCAATGCAACATGGGAGCCTGACAAATAGCTTCTGAGCGTGAGCACTGAAGAGCCTCACTCACTTGCCTCTTCCATGTTCACATCCCCCAGCACATGCACATTCACCCACATTCACATTCCCCCTATCACACTAATTCTGCATCCTTGGTTCTCATAGGCTGTGCAGCTAAAGACCAAGGTGGAGGACTGATAGAGATAAGGACTGACCCTTCTCCACTTCCTTCAAGAGGGAGGAAAAAAATTATTTCCTTCTGGATGGGAAAATTCATTATATCATGCATGGTTTCTATCTGGGACACAGAAATTCTTTCATTATATCAGAAATTTTGTTGTATCCAATTTCATTGCATCCAAATTTTTTTTAGCATGGGTATCTATGGACATTCAGCTGGGCAACATCAAGGATTTAGGTATAACAGGTTTTTTTTTATGTCTGTTCGTTATACTGAGAGTCAACTGTAGTATAATCTGTCCTTTCCCCTCTGCTACTCCCTGGATGTGAAGTTTTACAAATATAATTGGAACTCTAGACTTATTTTGGGAAAGGCTCCTACTACCCACTTCCCTCTAAACTTGTTTCTAAGTGTGCACAAACATATCTATTTTTTTGCTTCTGCTTTCCACACATTTAATAAAATTTATTGTTATTCATCTATATATTTAACAGGATTCTCTTTTAATTGAACCAGTTGGTAAGCAAAGGAAGTACATGGAGATGAGGAATAAATTTCATTTGACATGTCCATACCTTGATAACATCTTCCTTCAGTCCCTGCTCCTGGCAGGATTTGGAATTTGCCAGGCAAAATTAATTTTTCTATTCCATGGGAAAAGCAAAAAATGAAGTTGATTTAAAATAATGAAAACCTCTAATTATAAGAATAAGATTCTTAAAATATAATTTTATTTATCTTCTTATGTAACTTTTTGCATCATGGTATTTTGAATATTTTAGCACTGTCAATCCAAGCATTTTCCTTCCCTTGGCATTAGGCTTACACAAGATAACAAGAATGCTCAGAGGTTAAGGATGATGTAAAATCACTTAACCAGATTAAGGAAGTGATTAAAGAAAATGGCTGGCCATAGCTGGGCATTTCAGCAGTGATGAAGCTAGGCTTCTGCCATGCCTACTTTCATTCAGTTCCAGAATGCAGAATTTCTCATATCTCTTAATGGAAGATGATTGAGGACATGACTGATTCCAATGCTTTTGGTGTTCTCATGTCGGTTCTGTATACCTGCTCACTCTTCTGTGAGAAAAGGCTGCTTTTTTTTAATTTCAGGGACATTTATACAAAGATAATGCATTCACTACCAGAGGGCAGAAAAGAAGGTGCAAATCTGCTCTTGATGGAGCCATTCCTTATATCAGTGTTTCCCAAATGATGTGCCACCATTAAGGCTTAAGTGTGCCGTGAGATTTGAGAGTTGACAAAAAAACTTAAAAACAAGTGGAAATGCCATCTCAGTGGAAAACAAGCTGAGAGTTGCACTATCACACCTTATATCAAACTGCTGTGTTCAAAAAACCAGCAAGCACAAGTTTCCCATTGGAAGTAAGTAAATGGCTGGGTGTGCCATGGAAAGTTCAAATGTCCTTATGTGTGCTGCAAATAAAAAAAGATTGGGAACCACTGCCTTATATGATTGTAAATTTATAGGTTGGAGGGAATTGAGATCAATGAGGGCAGCCTACCAACAGGCTTCCACTTCCAGTAATTCACTAGTGACATGTTTGGCTCTGTTTTTGTTTGACCTTTGAAAATAATTCATTTTGTGTGAATAAGACTGCAATACTTTAAAGTATGAAATTAGCATAATTAAAATAAGTTATTTACATTCTTATAGTTTTTTCCAGCAAAAATCATGTAGAAAGAACTGTTTTTACTACCAGGTTGTAACGAAAGTTTTTGTGCAAACAATGCAACAGTCCGCAAAGCAGAATTTTTTTGTCACACATTCTGAACAAAAGCGCATTTTATGCCATGTATGTTGCCTTTTTTTTTTTTTTTTTTTTACAAATCGCTAAATTGATAAAAATTACAGTCTTCAGAATGTGTGATGAAAAAATCGTGCTTTGTGGACTGTTGCATTGTTTGTAGGCACAAAAACTTTCGTTACAACCTAGTACTGGACCACCTGGTGGAATTTACAAGTGCCAGACCCTGCCTCTGAGGCCTCAGTGTCTCGTATTGGATATTGACAACTCATATCTTGTATTATCCTGAGTATTTCTGATATCTGCTGATATTGATGATATCTAGTTGTAGCTCAAGTAATATGTAAGTGCCTTTCTTCCTCACCACACTCCATAATGATAATGCAAAATTTCCAGTGTCACTGGTGTTTAGTGTATATTTGCTTTACAGACATATTTTTCAGATATATTCTTTGTTTTTAGTGAGTATAAAGGACCTTTTCTTGCCTCTTGTATTTGTTGGTGATGTATATGGTACAGGAGTAATGAGGCTGATATTGATATTGAATTAGACATTTATGCCGAGTTCATTATGATACAAAACCCGATATTGGGTGACTTGTACCAAGTCTGTTTAACTTAACCAACTCAGACAAATTTTAAGAAACAAAAGGAAGTCAGCCAGAGAAGGGGTTAAAGTAATCTGCCCCTAAATTGGTCCCCTATGGGAATTGGTTTGATAATAAAATTCCCTTAGATGCCCAGATCAGTTTGAAGTTAAATAGATCTAGTGCATATCACCCATTATGTTCAGAATTGATGTTGAACTCAAATTCAATAACGATTTCAATATTAATGGGGGGAAATAAACTGTTAATGACAATATTGATCTGCTTAAAAATGGATTTAATCAATATTGCCAAATTTCTCTTCATTACTATATTTCTTTTATGTTTGTATATTGTTCAGCCTTACCCTGGGCCCATGACTTAGCATTTCCTACTTCATGCCAGGTGATCATTTTTGTCATTAGACATATTGTCTTCACTCCTACTATATGCAGTAGAATCAGTAATTATTACCAGTGTATTCTTGTGCATAGGTGTCCTGTGGATACAAACTATGAATGTAGGCATCTAGATTCACACCAATTGACTTTCTCATAAACTTGAGGCTTGAGTATGTTGGTGTCTTTTTTTTGTCTTAAATGCATAAGTGTTTTCTCTTTTTGATGCAGTCATTCACAACTACCAATTGAATTCCAGAGACAATCATACACAATTGCAAGTTCCATATTGCACTCCATAGTGAAGGAGTCATTAGCTGCTGCCTTTGAAATACAGAGTGTCTTAAAAAGATGTCTAAATATTGTATGAATGTGGTTGTAGTGAATTGCATTTTGGTGAAACTACCACAGGAAAACTTAAAGGGAATGGATAAACAGGGAATATTCACTATTTAAGTTGGCTAATTAGTAAATGATGTGTGCAGTTTATGAGCATTTAAAGTGTAAAGTTAATAAATATGATTACTATATACATTCAGGTCATGTATACCTCTTTTGCAGACATTGTGTCAAACTGTATGCATCCATATCCAATTACTGTCATGGAAACGTTTGAAATGAGTTATTATAATAATTATTGCAGGGTTGGGAGGGAATGCACCAGGAATGTTGGGACCTGTACCAGGGTTGGGTGTCCCTCCACCCCAGTTCTCTGGCCTCATTTCTACAAATCCTCTCCTTGGTCCACGGATCCTCAGTGGACTCCCCCCCTTGCCTCCTCCAGGGACAGGTTTGTGCTTCATCCTTCCACTTTCTTGTACTCCACTCTTATGAGCAATACTTCACCACTTCAAGGTCTCCTAAAATGACACTGATCATGTAGATGATATTTAGACTTGAATTAGCTGTTCAGATAGCCCCTCAGATATTGAAAAAGCTACAAAAAACTCCCAGTAACCTGGATATATAAGTGAACTGTAAGTGTAAGTTTCTGCCATAGCCTCATTCTTCCTTCCCAATAATAATTAAAAAAATTTTTTTTTTAAACTTCAATGGGAAAACCTCCCCATTTGAAATTATTTTCCAAAATGTTGATTTTGGAGTGCTGAGGTGTTTTGCTTCCATGATGGGTGTCCTTTTTCAAGGATGACCCTCCATGTGCATTGGTACTGATCATCCATGCACATACTGACATACCTATGGCTCTTACTTAATGTAAGTATATCAGTTAATATGTCAGTTATATACTTGTACTAGTATATATAAAATAAAATAGAGATAATATCAATTGCACTGTAATATCTAATATGTAAACAATCTTGGAAACTCGGTAGATTTGCACAGCTGATAGGATTCAAGTTGTCCAGGCAATGCAAAGGTTTCTTAAGTCATTTGCCAGAAATTGGAAAATGTGTGATGTGCTTAGATTTGTTCTCAGTGATGAAATGAATGTGGTTGCAGGAACTGCAGGACCAGGAGGGATGGGGATGACACCATTCTTGGCCCCTCCTGGGCCAGGGTCAAGGGGACCTGGAGGGGAGCCCCTTTTGCCTACCCCCCCCTTTCCAGTACCTGCCCCATTCCCATCTTCTATGTCAGAAGTCCCTGCACTCCCAAGCTCTGCCCCAAGTGAGATTACTTGTCATGTCTTCTGGTCTGGGTTGGAACATTATTATTTTTAAGTTTTTGATAGCATAGTACATTTTATCAAAGGAGAAACTAAGGTAGGATGAACAACAAAAAATTGTTTGAAAGCTGAAGCCAACAGTGAGGTAACTTTCTGTGGAAATTCAGAATGGAATTCATGGCATAGGTGGGATGCTCAAATCATAAAATGTGTGATTCACTGTTTGCTTTTCTGCTAGATGTTAAAGAAAATTATCCCAGCCTTTATCTTCTCAATTTCTGTTTACACCCTACATTTCACCATAGTCAGGGTCTTATACAATCATAATTGTATAATTAGAAAATTGTATAGAAGCATTGAAAAAGCCTATAGAGCAGGAGTGCTCAAACTACAGCCCGCGAGCCAGATACGGCCCGCCAAAGGATACCATCCGGCCTGCGTTAAGATGCAACCGGCATGATATTTTTTAACCTCCATTTCACCTGGTTTTTTATTTAAATATTTTAAATCTTCTACAATCTCATCTGCCTTTCATCCACTGTTGAGAGCCAGGCAAGAGGGAAATGAAAGTCCCTCTTCCCTAGCACTTATGAGTGAGATCTCGACAGTGAACCACTCGCGTCTCACCGGGTAGGCCCTTTCTTTGAATTTAGGCGTTTTCAATCCCCAGTGATTGACCTTGAGCGTCCACACATTTAATAGGGCATGTAGTGGATGTTTTTGGGAGTTTGCTAGGTATGTACCATGTCTCTTTGGGGATCCAAAATCATTACTCATGTTCACCAAAACCTGGGGAGTATTTTTCAGTGCAGCAAGTGTGCCATTCAAAATTCAGTGTCATTCCATTAATTGTTCTCCAGCAGAATGGGTTTAAATTGTTTCAGGTGCAGAATACTCTTTTTTTTTTGAGAGAGAGGACGTTTATGCCTAATCTTTTTTTTTTATTACCAAGTACAAAGCATTGAATTGTGCCAAGCTTCAAAAGAAGGTTGATTGTGAGTGCTGAAAACTTTGAAGTCGCTGGGAAGATATTTTATTTTTACAGACTCGAATGGCAAGGCTGTGGGCTCGATTTGTCATGAGACAAATTGCCGTCCTTAAGGGGCATGCTCATAAAAGGCAATACCAATAAGACATGCATAGTTAAGATTTTGAGAGGTACTGTGCCATGAAATAAGTCAGCAATTTCAAACTGAGAGCAACTTGAAAAATTTGCAGAATGACTGTCATTTGCTTGAGTAAAAAATGAGAGGAATTTCAAAGGTCATATATTTTTTTTAAAGGCATACCATGCATTTTTATTCAGGACCCACCTCACATATTCTACCATTGTTTTTAAGGCCAAAGAATTGTACAGTTTTCATTACCAGTTCTTCTCAAAAAAAATTTCTTAGAACTGCAATCAAAGGAAACATTTTTGGCCTTACAAACAACAGTAGAAATTGTGAGGTGGGGGTCTGAATAAAAATGCATGGTATGCCTTAAAAAAAAATACATGACCTTTGAAATTGCTCTCATCTTTTACTCAAGTAAATGACAGTCATTCTGCAAATTTTTCAGGTTTGTTGAGCTGCATAGAAAATGGCACCATACAATTGAAAACCGGTTTTTTGTGAAATTTGTGGTTTTTGCATATTTCGAGCCATCACATTTCCTTAAGTGGAATTTGTTGGGACAAAAATCGGACACACTTCATTAGATCTTTTTCCGCTGATTCCAAAAACATGCATGATGATAGGATTTTATGAACATGTTGCCATTTTGCAAATTTCTAAATTTGCCAAAAATCGGCAAATTTGACAGCTTTATTTCATTCAGTATCGCCTCGAGAAAAAAAGTATATGAAATAACTTTGAAAGTCTAACCTTTTTGAAGAACAATGGTGTTTCTACGTTTGTTTAGACCCACATCAGCATGAAGAGGTTCCCTTTTTTTGAAATTAAGCAAAATTTAACGAGTTATTGTGCCAAAACGGCTCCATACCTGAAGCCAAAATTTTACATTCATATTTTGGGCCATGAGGGGTACCACATAAAACTTTTTTAGCAATATTGGAGGGGGCCATACTCCGGCCTCTGGCTGATTTGAGATGGAATGACCCAACTGCTATACTTCATTCCATGGTTTTCATGGAAGTCTGCTCCAGGAACTATGGTGGTATTAGTCTCTGGAAAACTCAGCATCCATGATCACATGAGAATCTTCTATTTAGTTGCATCCCTAATGGAAAAGTCAAGGGCTTTGCGGCATTGCCTTGCAGCATTTATTGGAAGGACTTTTAAGTTACTCATATTACAATCTCTTACTCTTGACCTCATTGATCATTGTACCATATGATCAGAGAAGAAAAAATTGAGGTCCTTTCAGACACTCCTTGCCAGTGGTATCTGTTGTGTCATAAGTTTAGAATTAATATTAGGGCTGTTGTGATAGCATTTTTGAAAACATCAATGCATCGACCTGAACTATCAATAGCGTATCAATGCATTGGAGGGGGGTGCACAGGAGGATTCAATCTTTTCCACCATGATTGGGCAGAGGTTTGACTTCCATCATTTCTGGTCTTGATCAGAGCCCAAGACTGTCTTCCATAATCTCATACTTGTGATCAGTTGGTGTGAGGGGAAGGTGTGACCTTTGCAACAAGTAATGAAACCTACCATGCCTCCAGCTATTGAAGTTGACATCCATTCATCGATGGATGCATCAGGACAGCCCTAATTTTTTCTTATTGCAGTTGAGAATCATTTGCCAAGCCCATTCATGTAATTTTTTTTTTTTCTTTGTTTTCTGTGGTCTTATTTGGACATGGGCACCAGCAGAGAGCAAACCTGCCAATGGTGCCATGCTGGGAGTAGCCAAAACATACCTACAGCCCTAGAATAAGCAATGTCCATGTAAAAAATTCCCTTTGGGTTCACCTTAAATAAAGAGGTAAAATGCCCCAGGGCAGGTTAAAAATTAAAAAAAACATAGGCCTGCATACTAACGAGAATGGCAGAAATATAGTGGAGGGATTAACCAATGTACATTTTGAAATGAAGGGAGTATAAGAACAGTCCACTTTTGCAGTATGCACCTGATAAGATCACTCCGAAGACTGAAACAGAAGAGGAAAAAATATTCTCTATCTTCCTTCCCTCTCCTTTCCCACTTCCTGTCTTTGATCCAATACGGTTTTATTTCCCTTCCCATCTTTCTTATAGTCAGTCCCAGCATTTCCAGAATTTGGTAGTGATTAGAAATTGCAAGCAGTCTCTTCCTTTCCCTGCATGCACAGTCTCTATTGTACTATACTCGCCTCAATCCAATGGGACATTTCCCCTTTAAAAATCTTTTACCAATACATTGCGATGGTAGAAAAAATTATCAATACCTCCAAGCATCGATAATGGTATCAATGCTTCACTCTATTGTGACAGCCCTAGTTAACTCTGTCTCAGTTAAGAAAAACATTTTTTTATTCCCTCCTTTCCCAACCCCCAAGGCAAGGCGAGAGAAAAAAAAGGGTTTTCTTAACTGAGACAGGGTTAATATATGGACACATTTTACATTTCATATATAATACCAAGAAATTGTTCTTCCCCCCCCCCCCCTTACTTTGTAGGTGAAGGAGACCATATGGGGGGTGTAGAATCAAGAGAGGTAGACATGGATTTGGATGATGGAGAAGTAAGACTTCCTGAAGAGGAAACTCAGCTCAACAAGTGAGTCTCTCTTAGTCTGATGTTATTCAATTGGGTATTTAATTTATTTAATGCTTTTACTAGAAGGGAAAAATAAATTGAAGCTCAAACACATAAACCTCATATAGGCATTTAAGCTGAAGAGCTCTTTTGTCCCAGTAGGAGTCCATGTGCTTTTCTATGGTGGGGGGGAGGAGGGTTGGCATGAGGATGCCTCTGCCATGATCATGAACACGATCCTCCATTGATAAAAAATGCCATTCCCTTATCAAAGGGTCCTGATTATATTTTCTGTGAAGAATCATTTGCATAAACTGTTTGTACTTTTTTATTTTATCCCCCTTGAAACTAGGTGGTTCTTGTGCTTTTTGTGATTTCTTTTGGTCTAAAACTGAAATGAGCAAGAAGGTTCTCATGTTACAAATGATGTTTTTATGAATGTCTTCCATGGAATTAATTCTGAGAACTTGATGGTGTGGAAATAGATATAGGTGTTGGTATCTGGTTTCTTTCAACATTGGAATACCAAAATTCAGTATCATTGCATCTCTGAATAAAATCCAAGAATGAATCATCACTTAGTTTTATGCTTAAGTTTCTTTTACATCATCACATTGGAGAAACAATCAGTTTTTATATCATCTTCATTCTGCTTGTGAATAAAAACCTTAAATTAGCATAAGGTACTCTTTGATTGAAATATTAGGAAAAACAAGCAAGGCTATTTCACAGTCAAATGTGAAGTGTTCTGAAATGTTTTATTAGTGAAAATTTTGTTCATATTTTTTAATATTCCACTCCAGAAGGAAACTGAATGCTCCCCTAAGTTCAATGAGGACATTTAGCCCCCTTTTTTTGTTTATCTTGTTAATTGTTCCATGTTTCAAGCAGCAATCACAACAAATTCTATTGTTGGAAAAATTCTCTATGTCTCCTTTAATTCAGTATGCATTATATGAGGACTCTTGCAGGAGTTTTGACAGAGCAGTCAGAGAAAGACGAAGGTTCATCAGCCCCACTGTTTCTCCTCTGCTCAGTTATTTTTTGGAATGGCATTCAGTTGTGATCTTTATGAAATTTGCAACCTTTCTTCATACCTGCTCTAACCTTAGATCATCACTCAGCATAAGAAAACCTATGCTGGCATCTATTTCAATTGTCCTAAGCAGTCTTTCCAGAATATCTACTCTATAATTTCAATGGACCTGACAAAAGGCGCATTAGTATTAAAGAAATAATGGAGTTAATAATGGAATAGAGAAAAAAAAAAAAAGCAATTCATTCATGTCTCCAGGAATAAGACATACTGAAATCTGATATGAACAAATCAACACTAGAACTACCAGGGAAGTCATTTTGACTACTTGCTGATTCTTAATGCACTTTATTCGGCTCATTTGGAAACTAAGGGCCACAGTGGTTTTTAATTTTCCTATCTAATATCAACATTTTGAACATACCAAATAACATATGGAAAAAGAAAATAAAATGTTACAGAATGATAGTTTTATACTATTTTTAATGCAACAGTCAAATGGACTGCTCTGGTAGTTCTAGTGTTAAGTGACATTTTTGTCACAGCTCTCTGCACCTCTGCCCATACATGAGTCAAACTGCCAGTCAAGGACTCTCCCAAAGACAAAAATCTGAAATGGAAGATGAGGGTAGAACTTGTGCAAAAAACCTGAAAGAGTTGCATCATCATAATATTTTGACTATCATGTTTTGAAGTACCACAATCAAGCTTTTCTACTGGAACATGGCTTCGAAGCCTCAGCATGGCCAAATGCCTGTGGAGTTTTTGAATAGCCCACATATAAGACTTTAAAAAATGTGGATCTCACATTTTCATGACAAATTTCCCCCCCCCCCCCATAAGTCTGTTTTTGCAGTTTTTCTTCACAGATATGAATTCCAGGGTGGTGTAAAAAAAAGTTGTCATTATTCCAAATTTCTTGAATAAGGCTAATTTTTATTATTATACCATCAGTATGTATGTACAGCTAAATTGCTTTGATTGTTTTTGTGGTGTTGCTGGTTGGATTTAGAAAGCCCATCAGCTCCAGTTGGCAACCTATTCTTCTGGAAATGCATTGCATGGTACAATATTTGCAGCATGATGATAAAGGTTTTATATATGTTCAGTTATTCCTGGATGAGGAGATATGACAATATTGTTTTTACAGTTTGGAAGTGAGGGTGCAAGAGAGTGGACGGGAGGGCACAGAGGAGTGGCGCCCCCGAGGGGGGGGTAGACGCCGCGCATCCCGTTGGGGTGACCGAGATGATGAACCCAGGGACATGGCTAGTGATGATCGCTGGGGCCCCCGCCATGGACCTCGAGAGTGGAACCAAGAGAACGAGTAAGAACACTTTCACCATTTATATAGTTATTTTTATTCATTTTTTAAAATAATTTAATGCAAAAATAAGAAGAAAAAGACTGTCAGGGATAGAGACAACTCCACAGCAAAATTTGAATGGGCAAACTGGTACACAAGGCCAAGGTTCCCAATTGGTGGGTCATCATTCAGGATTGTGACCTACTGGATGCTGGAAGGTTCATGTGAGTGAATGAAAGGTTGGGAACCACTGCACTAAGAGCAAGGTGTAAGCTAGAATTTTCTTCCTTTTTATGAACACTCTGAGTGGCTTAATCACTTCTGTGTTTAGAAATAAAATTAATTTTCTCACATTTTATGACTGTGGTATTTGGTATTTTTTAATTATAAAAGTCTGCCCTTGAGTGATAATGTATGTCCTCCATCACAGGGGAGATCGTTGGGGTCAGGAGCGGGACTGGGACCAGGAGCGGGATCGTGATCGGGATCGAGATAGGGATAGGGATCGGGATAGGGATCATGATCGTGATGGGTTCTACCGAGATCGGGATCGGAATTGGCGGGATCGGAGAAGGGAATTTCCCCGCCGTGGACGAGCCTTCAATGAGGAGAGTGAGCAACCTGAAGGCCCCGAGATCCCCCTGTCAGAGCGCTTGATGGAGTTGTGTCACTCTAGTGACCCACCACCTACACTTCCTAGCATGGAACCTCCCAGGTAAGGTGATGGATTCAAGTCATTCACTAGATTCCCTAGGGGAACTCAGTGGAAGACTGAAGACTTGAAGAAATCCCACAATTGCATACTTTTGTTGGATGTATAGACGTCAAGTTCTTGCTGTGTTTTGTTCAGTCCATCTATAACAGGGGTGTCAAACTCAATCAAGCTGGGGGCCAGGTGGAACCCTTCAGGGGAGGTTGGGTGCCATACTAACAAACCTTAAAGTAAATTATTAATATGAACTGGTTGAAATCTCAGTGCTTTTTCCAGAACCAACTAGTGAAGTGGACTACACGGGCCAGAAAAAATGAACCAATGGGCTGGATGTGGGCTGCCAGTTTGACACCCCTGATCTGTAATGTTTACCAAATGCAGGGGAGGAATTACAGTACTTATTTTCCTATGGGTACACGAAAGGTGAAATATCAATATTGTGATGCTATTGAAAGCATGGAATTTCCGCTAATGTATCCCCTGCTACCTGCTACATTTAAATGCCTTGAGGAATGCTATGAAGTGAAGTGCCCTTCTATATCTTCCAACCCATTGTCCAACAATGGATTTGGGGTCTGCTTTATTGTGTAGGAAATGCATTTTGTTCAAGAAGTCTTCTAGTGCAAAAAAAAGAACAAGTGTTTTAAAAGCCAACATCTTTTTTATGTTTGTCTTTTTGAACTAATTGAAAAGAAAAAAGTTATTTTGAAATTTTATTATTTTCTATGGCTAAAGAAAATTACTCATTGAACTTTGTATGAGATGGGGCACTACATGTCTTCACTATTGCTGGACATGTGTGTAATTTTATCTTTTGAATATGTCTTCCATGAGGAATTTCTTTCAGTGCTTGCAGACAAGGGAAAGTCTGATTTACTGTAGTGGATATTTCTCCATTTGGCAGTTGCCATGATATGATGTAGTGTTGCAAATTTTCCAGCACCTAATGCCTGCTCAAATGTAATGGAAGATTTTATATGTGAACCTGGAACAAGCTGTGTTAATATGACAAATCTTCAAGAATGTTTAAGACTGGTAAACGTGTGAATAAAAGCTGAATATGTTAGTCAAGGGTTTAAATATACTATAATTATCAATAAGTATTTTTGTCTTCACCATATCTGTAGGTGTGTGTGAAAGTCACTATAATATATTGAAAGACTCTTACAACATTGTAGTGCTTTGCTATTGCTGAAAGTAAAACATCTAAGTCTTAGAAAAAAAACCCTAAAGTATGGCACCACCTGTTGCTGCAGGGTAGATGAAAATATAGGAATATCTGGAATATTGCAAAGCGTTGCACTCCCTGAAACAGAAGCAAACCAAGGTCATTGAAATGAACTTAGTCAAGTTAGCTTACTATATAATATGGTCTAGGTTCTTTTAGGATTTTTTTTTAAGCTACTGCCTGATATATCTGATTCTGAAGCAACATGAAGCAGCAGAGTTTTAGTTTGTGTTTGAAAATATGGATGCAGAATTGGGAGTAGGCTGAGCACATCTCCATCTCTTATCTCCATAGGGAGGAGTATGATCCAGGAGAGATGGATTTTCCACCACATCATCATTCACTGGGTCCTCGATTTTTTGGCCCCCATGGTGGCCCACGTGAGTACTCCCTCATTTGTGATTTCCTAAGTCAATAAACCAAAATTAGATGCAGAACTTTCCATTGAGATCTTTGGATTTGTCCTTGTTTTCAGGAGGATTTTCCAGGTTCCCTGGGCTACAAGGACCTCCAGATTTTGGCCCCATGGGACCACATGATGGATTTGGGTCCAGAGGACCACCAGAGCGCTTTGGTCCCCGAGGTTTGTCTCTGCTCTGCTGCATATTGCATGTTGATAACAAAGAAAAAGTCATGTTGCTGAGGAAATATTTTGTCAGGGCCTCGATTTGGCCCAAGAGGACCTAGAGGGATGTGGGGACCCAGAGGTGGAAGAGGGGGCCGCTTTGGGCCTGATGGATTTGATTCTTCACAGTATGGACCACCTGATGGCCCACAATTTGGACCTCCCAATGTCCCAGGTTTGAGAGTTGCCCATGGCCTGTCTCTCTTTTAGTGACCTCTTCATTGTTTAAAGATATCAAAATCTTGACTTTTCTTTTTTACAAATTGACTGAAATGTGATGCTTGACTCCAGGATATATTTGACATATATCTCATTCAGCCAGAATAATAAGTTTGTGCCTCTTATAGTAATGTTGAGTGAATGGATTCCAGATATCTTGTATCTATTATTGAACCATATTGTGGATATCCTACTGGATACAAAAACAGACTGACTACAGTCAACAACTCTTGTTAATAGAGACATAAAGAGACCAGTAAATTTGTCCCAATTAGCAGCTCCTGGATTTATCAAAAACTTGCCTTAGTGACCACTTATCTTTTTTTTTTCCCCAAGTGAAAAATATGCCTCCAGTGTCCAGCAAAATGCTTTCATTAATTCAGTTCCTTTTCTTTTTCCATGTAAATGTGAATAACCAACTTAGTCATTTCAATCCGTCAAATAGAAGAAATCCAAAATTTTTATTTTCTTTGATTCATGCAAAAAATCCAACAGGATTGTGCATTCCAGGGATAGGAGGCTCTGAACTCCTCTGTGCTCCCAACAATGAATGCATGATTCCATGAAAGATGTGTTTCTCCTTTGTGGAAACAAATGCTTTGCAATTATTTCTGTGAAAGAGGATCATCAGGCTGGACAGCATCCTGTTCCAATTTTCACTACACCTCTTTATGTCTGAGACTGCTGATGGTGGAATATTGAAATCACATACTAGGCCTACTTCAAATTGCTTTTTATCCATGTCAAAATGCTGCAAAAAAAAAAGCTTCTTGAAGCTCTAATGACAAGGACAAGTTAGACTGACTTGAGAAGAGTGAAATGACTACAAAGAATGAAAGTTTCACTAAAAAGATTAATCCTAATTCAACAAAAGAGGGGAAATAAAGGGAATGGAAAGTTTTTTCTGTCTTCTATTCTGGGGTGAGGGGGGCATAGAGACATGAGAAAGGGTCAGCAGAAAATTTTTTTCTGCTGTATTTCATCTCGTGTTTTCTACCAAGTCTGAATGATCAGAGAGAATGACCCAAGGGATGAGAGAACTCATCAATATAAATGGGATCTGTGAAATAACAGTGTTTGGATTAATGGGTGATTTTATCATGGGTTTCATGGGATTTATGCTGGGACTATTCCTCATGGCTGAATTAATGGGAACTCTGGTTTATTATTTGGATTAACGAGAGTTGATTGCACCATGTTCACTTGCACCCCAAGTTTACTAAACTTTCTGCAGTGAACTGACATGCTATCAATGCAGCCAGTTCCTTGTTGGTATATATCTTTTTTTGTTCATTTTCTGCATTTGCTGCTTAAAATATTACTGCTGAACACAGATTTTTGAATTGCACTACTGTATATTTCACCCACTTTCCAAGCTTTTCAGGTATTGATCAGACTCTGGGTAGCTACAATGTCCCTGGTGATTCTCACCAGAGAACACCAGAAAATCAGTTGACCTCAGAGTTATAGCTTGGCAGTAAAACTTGTATTCATGTGTTTGAGCATTCAAGCATAAAGCAAGTTACCTAAACATCAAGACTGAGTAATAAAAAAATGTCCTGGACAAAATGTAAAATTCTTGGTTCATTCAATATGAAGTACAGGTTGACAATAAAATCACTTGAAGGTTTTATGGAACTCCAGCTTGAAAAATGTTTAAGCAAAAAAATGTATAAAATGTGTAGTAAACAAAAAACCATCCACATATAGGCACCTGTCTATGAGGTGATTCCTCTACCCTATATTTATGCACATTCTGAATTTAATTTGTAGCAGTTTAAAGATCAATAAATAATTCAAAGAAACTTGATTGTACCCCAGACCTCACAGCATTATTTCTTCTTGAGTTCATGCATGCTTCTATCAAGTATGCACAAAGTTCTGGTGATATTCATGGAACCAATTATGTGGTTGTGTTTTCTACAGGGTGCTCCATGAGTCACATGTTTTTTTTTATATATCTTTTTGCAAGTAACTCCTGTTTCTCTTATCAAGTTAGGAAGATTTTTTATTTACAAATCTGACATGGATGATAAATACACCTGAGAGCAAAATCATTGAGATGTACCATGAACTGAAATCTCCTGTTAAAGTTCAGCATGCTACAGAAAGGAGTTCGGTGTCTGAGATGATCCTAATTGAAATGTTATCATGGGACTTATTATTTTACAAAAGTAAGTGAAAGTGTTGTAGTGTGAAGGACTAGGATATCATTCGCATGACAATCTCAATCCATACCAAAGAAAATGTCAAGATTTTCAGGGAGATCTTTTCAGATGGGCCATCTGAGTTGAGCTAACATCAGTTGATCAAATTTTACTTAAAGTTAAACAAAAACCTTGCTTAAAATGACCAATGACTCATTTCCTGTCCTTCACACTGCCAATTTTGCTGAATATTTCATTATGTTGAATGATAGTGCTTCTATAGGGATGACTTCTGGCACAAAATTTGTTTCTGCTAGCCCACCAACTCTCCAGCTTGAGATTTCAGTTTGCAGTATAATTCAGCAAATGACGCCTTTTGTTCTTGGGTATGTTTTTTATCATTCATATCAGACTTGTAAAAAAATCAGCAAAATATGTACTTTGATGTGGTGTATGACTTAATCGGAAAAGAGATATATGAGTTATTCATAAAGCATTGCAGTACTTTTGGGATACCCTAAACTACTGGTACGACGGTGACCTTGCTTCACTATGGAGTCACATACACCCCCTTCCCCATCCAACCTAATAAATTTTGTATCTAAAGGATGGACCAATTTGAAAAGATATCATTGATGATCTCATGAAAGGGCAAATATGGAATTTGTGACATTTTCTAGAGAAAAAGAATTAGCCCTTTTTTCAAACAAAAGAGTGAGGAATGTTTGCCTTTCCATCTCCCTCTCTCAGCTTCCTGGTCCAAGTCCATTTGGACTTGGATTCATTAGTCTTTATTTTGTTGTCCAAAAGAGGGTTAACTTTTTAAAAAAATTGTAACTTCCATATTTATCCTTTTGTCAGGTTGTTTATGTCATTGTTTCAGTTTAGACAAGTGATGGCAAGAATCCAGGCTTAAGATATTCCACAAGGCCCATTCTAGTTCAGTGGACCAAAAGAGCTGGGTTTACATCTTAGGAATTAGAGGGGATCTATTCATCAATGCCATATGCTTCAGGGTTGCAATTTAACAAATATTGCCAATTGTACTTGTGACATGAAGGATGTGGGTTTTTTTTTCCATCTAGGTTAAATCTGAGTGCTTTAAGGTTGAGTCAGATTGAAAAATCTTTAATCCAGACTTTTAGATGCTCAGTTGTGTTGAGCACCTTTAACCTTTAGCACAGTGGTTCCCAACCTCTTCCCTCAGTGTGACCCCATTCATACAGCTGCAAATTCTTGCAACCCCAACATCATGCAAAGACATTGAGGTTTGCCTGTTAAAAATATGGCAAAATTACTATTTTTAAATCACCTTGCCCAAAAAAAAAGATCATCCTGACAGGTGGCTTCAGGACCCCATTTTTCATCATCATGATCCCAGGGATGACTGATGCTTCAACAGTTCCCTCACCCTCTAGATTGGACTATTTTATGTAACAAAGTCACTTTAAAAAAGGAACAGGAACTCAAATCACCTATTTTCAACCAAGAATTTAACGAAAAGGTGGTCATAGTGTCCACCTGGTACGCAAAGCAAGCTTTTGATATTTTGATGCTAGAATGGCATAAACTTGAAACAGGTGGTAAAGACCTTGAAAAAACTTGACTTTGAAGTCTGTTGTTCTGTTGCTGAGATTTCTCTTGAACAGAATGACAGAGGAACTCTAAGTACATTTACAGTAACTTACATCTTGGGGTGGCCTAATATATGGTACAGAAGCAGCTTACAACTTTGAACTCATTTGCCAAAACAAAATGTGGCCATGGAAAATAATTTTACTCAGGGTATATTTTGGCATCACCTAAAGCAAATGGCAAACATTTTTTCATCCCTTTGATTGTATGGCCTGATAGTCTATATTTGTGATGGTTCACTACATGTTCCTGATTGAGAACATACCTGTAAAGTGTGCCCTTGTTACCCACTGGAAAGACATTGAAAATGATGAGTTCAAAGAAAAGCCAAGAGAAGAAAAGAAAACCTTTGGTTGTATTTTCTTGCAATTTAATTTTTCAGATATTTTATTAAATTGGCAGGCTTCAGAATGCAAGAATTCTTGAAAAAATGTGACAGCAATGCCAAATCTGATGACTTTCTTCAAATATAACTGTAATATGACCTTACATGACTTTACTACATGGGATAATTTTCCTGTCACTGGTGCCAGGAGTTCATCCAGTATACATGGATGCAAGTGTGAAGAAGCATAAAAATTGTCACCTTGTCTATAAATCTGCTCTTTTATGAGGATATTTCAGCAAACTTGTGGCATTTCATAATAGCCACTGTGAATTCAATTTAAAGTTATAATTAGCTCTGATTTAATCATGGTTGACCTATTCAAGTTTGCTGAAAACTGCATTTTAAACTTTTACATATGATTTTGCATGCTAATGCTATTGGTGGCTAATTAAGCTTGATCAAGGGAAGATTTTCCTCTTCAGCCCCATATTGTGGCCCATGTTGAAGTCACTTGAACATGATTTTTATACAATGTTTCCTATGATAGTAAAGAGAGATTCAATGAGTTGAGAGTGTTGTCTAATTCCCTTTTGTAGATGATGATGGATGGGAAGGTCCTCCTCATCTTCCCCAGTTTGGTCGAGGGGGACGAGGACGTCGAGGGATTCGTCCCCGCTCCTGGCGGGATCGGTGGGATCGTGAAGATGACCATCCACCTCCAACTTCTCCAAGGGAGGAGTCACTTGTGCATGGTGATGAAAGCAAACCAGCAGACTCATCTGGCCCAGACCAGGTTGAGCCTGAACCCCATCCTCCTGAGGAACAACATCTCAGTTCAGAACCTACTGAAGATGTGGAACAGTTTCAAAATCCACCTCCACCTGAAGAAACCCCGGTTCAAGCAGACTCAGCACTTGAGGGGAAAAGTGCCGATGATTGATTTCCCTGTGTGTCGTGAGGCAAAGTGCTGCAGCACATTGCGTGTCCTTTTTTTATTATCACAGTCCGACCATTGTGATCACAAGAAGTTGCAAATAAAAGACAACATTGAGCATGGAACCCTCCATCGTGACATATGGTCTAAAGGTAGGTCTGTATCCACAGAGGAGGAGGATGATCTACATTTGGAGACTTGTGCTGGCACTCAAACTGAGTGACCAGTGCCAGGTACAGTGTGCTTCTGCTTCCCCTCTCTGAGATCTGGATGCAGCAAGCCAGAACTCGAATTCCTGCACTAGTGGACACTGGAAAGAAAGGACTTACCTACAGACACTGTGAACTGCATCTATCTCTCATGGGCATCTCCCAAAGACTCATCTATATATCTTGTCTCCTGGAGAACTTTGTTTCAGTTACTTTAATCTATGGAGGTCATTTAGTATTGGTACTGGTTCAGTGTCACAAGGCTTGTTTGTTTTTCAACCGTTCTTTTTTTCTAGCATGTGCAGTACTGTTTGATGGCACCCATGTGCACCTGGACTCGAATTTTGGCTTTCTGCTTGTCCTTTTTTCAGTGTGTCATTCTTGAACATGTGATCTCCACCCAAATTGTTTACAGACAGATACAAAATGATTCTTTGATTCAAATGCATGCCATATCATGGACAGATCACAGGTTTGAGGATTTTTTTTTTTTGGAATCACTTGCCTGAAACACATTCTATTCTTTTTTTTAATCCCTGTTCAAATGATCTAGTCGGTGCATCATCTCTGCAGGGTGTTTCAGACAAGTATCTACTTTGGTATCTCTTTATCCTACTTCAGCTTTCAGTGAAGCAAAAATTACATTCAGTGAAACAGAAGTCTTTCCTGGCAGAAAAGTGAAATCTGTCCATTACAGTTTCTTGAGGTTAAATGCCTCAGGGATTCATATGGTTTCATGCTGTTTGATCCAGGTCTTTTGGGAAGGGCTCAGTGGCAATTGGTAAAGCAGAGGTTTTTTGTCATCCTTTGAGAGTCCATTTGAATGATTTGTTGGAGTAAGGACATTGAAGAATGAGTATGAATTTAATTTCAAAGAATGTCATGAATCCCTGGTGTTATACCTTGTAAGTAACTATGCTAAACCAGGATGAATATTGCATTGCATCTGTGGAAGATGTTGGCACTATTGGGTAATAATTACAAATGACTACTTTTGGAATATGTCTGAGTATTTTAATTTCGTTTTTATTGCTCAGTACTGCTGTCATATATATTGTGTTCTAGGAAATATCTGACACCAAGCAACACATTGACATAGTATGTGCAATGGTAATTTCATGTTAAGCAGACCAATTTTCAGGAAGCTGGGTTTACTACCAACTGGGATTTAGTTGTTGAAATAAATATATAATGGTTATTAGTATGGTTATAATGGTTGCTCTAATTTTGCAGTTTCTTGTGAAACAGGTAAATCCAAATTTCAACAGTATAGGTAAAATTATCTCTAAGACATTTTCTCATAAGTTTTGGAGATTAAGGGCAAAGTTGCCCTGAGAACAGGAAACCATCTCCCAAACTAAAACTAGAAAGCTGGTTGAACTGCATAATTGGTTTGAGTTGGCCTTTCATATCCCCAAAGAATAGCTTATAAAATGAAATTTGCCCAAGTCCCAGTTACAACTGACTTCAGAGGACTTTCCTTCCTTTGCTGATTAGAAAAACTAATTTTTCTTTAAGTCATAGTCCCTGGTAGGTCTAAATTTGACTGAAGCACTGTCAGGTTCATTTCACTTTGCAAATGATTTACCTGACTAGCTTGTTTATAGATTGTACTCAGGTGCTGGCGGGATTATTTCCAGATAGCGATAAGCCATTCCAAGTTCTGTGATTAAGGGCTTATTCCCTTACTCTTGAAATGTATAGTTTTCAGATTATTTTCTGTTGAGTCATCTCTAGGGGACGAGAGATGACTCATAACACTGTCCTTGATTCTTGCATCATTAAAGGACGGTTGGCATTATATTTTGATTGCAAAATTGAAAATATGACGATTACCAATAGGAATTTTGGATTTCATGGAAACGGGCGGTTTTATTTGTATTTACAAAGGTAAGTTATCAGAGGAAATTATCAATTGCAGCAAAATGCAATAACACCATCTTCATTTTTTATTCACAAAAAGTGCAAAAATCCTTGGGCCATGGCTATACTTAGTTGAAAATTTTCTGAAGCTAACTCTTGAAGCGATGGGAATGCATTAAATAGGTTGTGTCTATTTTTAACATCAAGCCACAACCAGCAAACAGGCCATGTTTGCTGGTTATGGAAGGGGAGCTCTTCCAGAGTTCATTGTTAATGGCTGCTGTTTGGCCCAGGGCTTTAATGTACCCTCCAGGATGAGGTCACGGTTGACAGTCGCGTTGATCTTCATGCCAGAAGGCACAAAAACCAGTGGTGTGCGCCCTCTGCAGTGATACCCGCCCACACCATCACAGAAGCTGGCGACTGAGTGCGAGTAACACGACGGAGGGATGCCTGGCGACTCTGCTGCCCACACTCGGTCATTTTGAGAATTGAAGGATTGCTCGATCGTGAGGAGCTTTTCGTCAGAAAAGAGGATATTGCGATGGCAGCCATCTGCGAACCGACGGAGCAGTTACTGCGATCGTTGCAGCCTAGTCTTTTTCGCTTGTTCCGTGAGAAATTGAGCATTATGGAGCTTGAAAGGCCGGAGATTCAGCTTGTTCTAGACCATTCGCCGGAGTGTTTCGCGATTTATCTTTGTCGTTTGGGTCATTTTTCTAAGCGATTGCTTCGGATTGCGACGAAGTTGAGATCGAACTCTTTTGATGTTGGTAGTGGTTGACATGGACTTCGGTCGGTCCGATCGATGACGATCCTCAGTAAAGTTTGTCTCAAGGAACCGCTTGATAGTACGTTTGAAGTCTCAATTGTAGCCGTTGTTCTGAAGCAGCCGGAAGATTTCAGAGGGAGACTTCCCGGCTTCATGCGAACTAACAGCAGACCGACGATCTTCATTAGACAGTGACATGGCGAAACTAATAGGGGTTCACCAAGTGCTGATGAAGTCCCTCGTACCGTAGGCTATATAGTGTATAGAAACCAAGCCAAACATGTTCGAACATGCTAGCTCAGAACCAACAACGGTTTTTTTTAATGTACATAAATTTTGTGTCACTCTGTAATGAGCTATTAACCAGCTTTCAAGTTTGAGTAGCCTTATAAACGACGATTTCGTACAAGGGTTCATTTTGTCCCCCCCCCCCCCCCCCCCCCATCCCCCATGTTTAAGGGAACACATCTCGGAGACCATTTGATTTAGTCTGTGAAGTTTCTGATTTACCAGTTTGTATTGACAGTCATTATTTTTTTTTTACAGCTAATCTCAGTCGGTGGTGCAATCAACTTCCTGAATTGTGGACTGTCTTAAATGAACCCACTGATTAATTAAGCTGAAATCTTTCTCAAGCTGTGCAGAAAAATATGGTACAGCAACTGGATGCAGCATGCTGTCCATTTTAAAATAATGTGTTATACAGTTTATTGGATTGAGTAGAAATCATCCCTATTTTTTAATGCCAGTAAAACATGCGGTTCAGCAGATGCAGTGCTGGATTTACTGGAAGCAGCGTGCAGTTCTGCTGTGAGTAAAGGCCTGCTAGTTCTTATCCTGTATAGCATGTTGGATTGCTTGGCGCAGCACACACGAGCATTCCGTTGACAGACAAGGAACTACATGTTGCTTTATGCTGTATTGTAATTTTCTTTACGGAATGTTGGAAAATTATTCAGCAGCTGCACTTGCTGGATAGAGTTTTGTCGTACAGGTTGCAGTTATGTCCAGCATGTTGCACAGTACGTGTGCGAACTCTGCTCAATGGGCTTTTGCTGTGTAAGGCCGAGCTCATAGTCCTGCTGTACTGCATTGTACAGCATGCTGGACGCTCGATGCTGTACACAGCAGTAGTCCGTTAATGGACTGTAAAACTGCAAGCTGCATCCAGCAGATGCGGCGCTGCATTTACTGTATTGCATGTTCTGCATTCTAAAGAAATAGGAGTGGTTTATATTCAATCAAGCATGCTGTACAGCACGAATTTCTTCCCGGACAACATGCAGCATCCAGCTGTTGCACAGCGTTTTTTTTTATGCATTGCAGGATTGCAGCATCCATCATGCTGTTCAGCTCGAATATGAACTCAAGTCTTACGCACCAAGCTTGCAGCTTTGAGTAAAGCAGGAGTGTGGCCTAGACTATAAACACGAGTACAGTAGCCAAAATAATTTCATCATGCAGAAGACAGGACAAAATCGTTATACCTCAGCTCACCTGTAAGGAAAAGCTAGATATCACCTTGAGGTCTTGATCAGGTGTGCCCCTCGTTATTGTGAAAACCCCATCTGCTTGCCGACATCATTCGATACCCGAAGTTGGATGGAACTCTTCTTGCTTCGGAAAATCGACAGATCTATTTATGAGTCCATTTCGAGAAGATACGAACAGGAAGTTTGATTCGTCGTGGATGTCACTTAGGAACGATTGGTTGCAAGATGTGAGAGGAAATTATTTATTTATTGTCTGGACGAGTGATGGTTTCGAGAACGATTTGTACAGCTCACTTTCGACCCATTGGTTGGTGGTCCATAGAGACATCGAGCCCGACGTCTCTGTTGCTAGGGGTTGCTAACAACGAGTGATGTGCTAAGCGTTCTTCCAGCAGTGATTTCTCTTCGTGAACGTCGTAAATAAAGTTTCAACAAGGTACCTCGTGATAGAATGTGATCGTCCTGTGCCTGTGGGGAGCCCGTGATGCAGCTGACAGGGAGTTTCATGGCTTTGTACTCTTCGATTCGTAACATGTCTTTAAGAAAATAAATGAATGCAAATTATTTGTGGCTGGGTGACGATTGAGACAACAGGAAATGAGAGAAAACTCACTACTACGGCAGCTTGTGTTTCACATCAAGAGGCCCTCTTTTTGCCCGATCCGACTTTGCTTAGAATAAACGACCTAAACTTATAACCGTGCACCGTCATACTGTCACGGCAATTCGTTTCCGTACGATCCTTCTGCTGAAGCAATAGGATCCGTTTTGATTATCTCTTTTTCCTTTATTGGCCGTGTTAGTTGTGTAACGCATGGATCCATGGGGATGGGGATTTGAGCATGGGCATGGAAAGAACACCTTCAACCTTAAGGAAAATTAGCGAAAATGCGCAATTACGAAACTCCATCGTAGGCATGCCGATCGGAATCCATTGCCGGGTCAGTCGCTGAAGTGCTCGCGCGGATGAAATTTCTCCCGTTACGATGTACTGACAGCGAAAAGTTCTGACGTCAGACCGAAGAGATTGCGCCCAGAAACTGAGCCGATTCCGAGAATTCAGGGAATGATCTGTCACGTTCACAAGAAGAAAGAAACGTGCCCTCACAATATGGAGTAATGCAAATGACAGAACAGGAAGAAATATTTTCTGCCGCGTCGAACTGTGAAGGGCGAATAGTATATCCGTGATGAAATTCATGAAGAATATCATTCCTCCCCCTTCCCTTTCTTTCCGGACCGTGTCACGGAACGGGTTCGTCTTCCTATCGGTCCCTCCATCTACAGGGTACACGTGAGTCCTCGTTAAACACGGTCTTCCTTAATATTTTTCATTTTTTAAACTGCATGGAAAGCACATTGGAAACGAAGTTTCTGGATGTAACTTAAATGTAGGGTAAGAGACGAATTTCGACCCCTTAAGAGGTTTTAAAAATCTGCCCCTTGCCTACATTTTGAACTCGAAGGCTTTGGGACCTATACCGCTCGAGAGGAAAATTTACGCACTGTACATTCATGTTTTGGGTCGGACATCAAGACTTAGGAAATTTTGGAGAATAAATGAACCCGTCATATTTTCGTCCAAATCTGACCCCTCAGGTTCAAATTCTGACCCCCCACAACCATGGGGCCTATAGGGGGCCTCCTTGAATCTCACAATCTAAAGCCTGAAATGGCCAGTTATCAATCACCATCATGGTACGCCGCACATTTCAGTGGTTTTTTTTTTTCTCGGCAAATGAAAATGTACTCTAGAAAATGAACAAAATAGTAAACTCGGCATATGAAACGAATTAATGTACTTGACGAATGTATCAAACATAATGCACTGTAAACGACGCAAGAATTATTTCATCATTTAGAATAACTAAATTTTATGCAGATTCTTGCCTTGAAGGCCTAGGCAATTTCGTCATTGCTAACGTCCTGGTTCAACGGCCAGTCGCCGTCGTTCGAGTCGTTCAGTTCAGAATGCCCTTCGTTCAGTTATTCATATTCTTTGCGTCGCAAAGAATATGAATAACTGAATGAAGGGCATTCTTCCTCTTGGTACGTCTAGTGCTTGGGTTATCCGCTTCTCTCATCTCCTCTCAAGCGCTTCCTACGCGTCATGTCTTCCTTCTTTTGTGCTGCTTTTTCCATCTTTTTTTATCATTCCTTCTGACTGTCAGCCATATGAGCAGTCCTCAGCGTACCGCCCTTTCAGCTTGTCCTTTATGGTTGTCCTGAGAACTCCAAAGAACTCTCAGTCCTGAGAGTTTTTTGGATGCTTTTTCGGACCTATGGCACCCGTCCGGCATGCTTTCAATGCAGCCCGGAGCTGCTCTGTCGTGTACTTTCTTACCGTGTTTCGATCTAAGGATTACTACACATAATAGGACGGAATTAGGGACTTTGATGAAACTGTTTCTAATTCCGGTGCCGAGGGATCGGACTCAGATTTTGGGTCTAAATTCTGCATGCATGTCCGCCCTCCAAAGGTCTAGAGCGAACCAATTTTTGATAGTTTGAGCTTCTAATACTGACCTTTTCCCAAACTCAGACAAGGGAGTTATGCTATTCCAAACTATAGCAATATCTTTCTTAGTTGTCTAAACCTCTTAAAAACTGTAAGCAATTTTATAATGAACTTCACATTATTCCGATCGTAACCCAACAATTTATGCTTATGACAGAGGGATATCTGCCACCGAAGACGACATTCTGTTTTTCGCACGGGGGACAGACTTGGGAGCACATCGACGTAATTTGGTTGGAAAGGGTTTATTAGATTCCTTGAGTTAAATTATGCGATGCGATGCGAATTTTTTGGCAGGGTCGGTATTTGTCTAACCCTACACGAGGATCGGAGATTTTCTACCGTATACTTCGTGCTCACGACATCCACGAATCCCTTCAACATAGAGGCGATTACGAAAATCTGTAAGTCTTGCACAACTTTGCACTCGGCTTGAAACAGACACGATTATAAACGTAGTGGTACTCTCAATCACGTTATGCATCGTACGTCTCATCCTCTTGGAATTTGCCCTTGAAAGGGACGAAGCTTTCTTCCGAAATGCATTTTTTATTATATCTTTTGGAGCTTGAGTGATTCAGCTGAAAATGTTTCACATTACTCCTTACGTTTGTGTATGTTTCATCCGGCTTTTAGACTTCTAAGCTGCAATGAAAAAACCATCGTAGTCCATCTGGGATTTCTATGGGGAGATGATGTTCATATGGGGTACATTATACTTAGGATCTCACGGCCATGTGTATTCTTCAGTGTCACCTCAGCACGAAACTTCCTAAATGAACTATACAGAACATGTTGCATCGATAGGAAGAATGAAAGGCTGGTGCACTCCTTGATTTGAAAATATATCGAGCAAAATTAAACATTCATACTATCTGACAGTCATAATTCTTAGCGATAAAACCTCTCCGTGCTTTGAGGCCAGGACCGAAAATTATCTCTAATGTTCTCAGAATAAATAGGTCACATCCGATGCGTTGAATGCGATTCCAGGAACTCCCTCGGCACGGTTGTGCAAGTAAAATACCTATTCAGGCATCGGGTCGGCGACACGATCCCGATCCAAGTCATTTTTTGCTTTCAACTACGTTTTCATGCATTGTAGCATGGTTTATTGGTTTATTGAGCGTCAATGACCGTTCGAAATTGAATTCCCAAACTTTATACCTCATGGAGGCTTCACCTTTTTTTTTATGGAACACGATGGCGACCTCAAGACGGCGGTCTCTCGGAGCCGTCACGCTTTTAGGAGGCATCTTTCAGTGGTGCGCGTTTCCCCTTAGGCTCGAGGTTTTTCTTCTCACCTGTCAGATATGACTACGTCTGTCATTTATTCTATGGATTTTGCGCACGAGATGCCGAAAGCTCGAAGGAAGTTTTGAAATCCCTCAAGAATGTGAGGAAGAGTAGTTGGCACAGTGATATCGGTTGGGAATAGATCCGTCGCATTCGGGAGTGTCGCACCGAGTGCCTGAGACGACACTTCAATCTTGTGCTTCACAAGCGCCAGAAAAATCCGGTCCGGTGGCCGAGGTCGGCCATCGTCGTTTGCACCATGGCGTTCCCGTCGATAATGACCAGCCAACGAAGAACCACACTCCCCTCTCACAAACATGCTTAGGACATTTCAAAATCCTGCTCTAGCTTTCTGCTACTTCCATAAAGACTTCGACGGTCGCTCTCTGTAAAAATTTTGACTGAATTCGGGATTTCGCACCAACGGCAAGAAGACCTGTCGGAAAAGGAGATGCGTAATCGCCGACGAAAACCTCCTCAGTCGGAAAGTAAGGGGGACCATGAACACTGTTCATGGTCTTCCTGTTCATCGAACAGCCAGTTAGATTCCTGGTCCCCGTCGCATTCCACGGAAGGGACCATACGGTTCGACATCTTTTTCCATCGTCTCGCATCTCCACCACTTGTCGGCATCGAAGGCAGTTGTCTCCCAATTTCAAAGATGTCACGTGAAAGACGGTGATAAGGTCGAGCACGACGATGCCGACTTCTTGGAACGATTCGATACATAAAGACACACTGACTAATATTCCTGGTTCAACTTAAACCCGATTTTTTTTTTCAAGTTCTTTAATGTTTTTTGTTTTCTCTCATCTCGTCCTGACACGCAGCACGAACAGACTTGATAAGTCCTGCACAACAACTGCGAATGACACGCATTGGACGTACACGTTTCGTGATACAAAAAAAAATATTTTCCGGGCTTAGAACTTTGAACCAGGAATAAGCTTTAAGAAGTACTCCATCCAAAAAAACAGCGGTGGATTTGTAGCAGACAGGACGATCCTTTCCATCTTTCCTCGATCGCCTTATCGAATCTCCTTCGTGAGTCGTCGTGTATTACATCCTAAATCAAGGGGAACTAAGAGACCTTCCAACCGTAAGGAAATCGTCGTGATCGGTGCACGGGAGTTCGAACGAGGAAAGAGAGAGCAATATCCACTCAACTTCGGGAGAGCGCTTAGTTTCTTCTTGGAATATTGTAATAGTAAATGATGTAAAATAAAATAATTATTGGAGGATACGAGGGAAATGCTGACGAATTTCATAGCTTTCCTCGTTCTTCGGCAAACATAAACCTATTTTACCCAAATGACACCAATAAAAATAATTCCAAACCGCGTATGCAAGCCCGTGCCAATTTTACAGCTTCAAAATTAAGACAAGAAGCTGATGAAGGTGAAAGTCGTCAGTGCTTGACGACAACGGCTGCTTGACGTCAGCCGTTGTTGCTGTCAAGCACAAAGAGACTCTGAATTCTCACAAGTCCACTTTAATTTTTTCATCCATACATTGCTCCCTCGCAATATTTCACCGCGGTAGACGCTTTTAGTGCTGATGGAATTGGATGCCTGAAGAGACGATTTCGAGCAGCAACGAGTAGGAGACGGCGCATTCGAAAACGCTGGAAATTTTGTACAGGTGCTTCTACGATGTCGCACTGGACGCCTCGAGCATCGCAAAGAAAAGAAAAATTAAGCCCTTGTGACGTCTGACGACGAAGAAACTTGTTCCTTCCAGGTGTGACTATTTCATCCTTTCTTCGCGAGACAGAAGTGACATCCGTGTTGCTTCGTTTGGCAGCTGGCTATCGAGCCAAGATATTAGATAAATCACGGAAGAAAAAGTGGGGAATGGATGTGGAACGGAAGCATCTCACGAGTAGCTGCACGGAGAATCGAGTGACTTTCATTTTTCATCCTTTCTATGGTATGAACATTGCGTCATTTGGTAAGAGGCAGTGGTGAAAACGTCGAGGAGCCAAAGGGATGAGTAGACGGATGAAAGAGAGGTGGGAAAGACGTGGGTGTGATAACGTGTAGCTGCGACGAAATCGCAAGGCGGATCGCATCGTCGGACACCCTGTCCTGTCATTTACCTCCCAGTTGAACCGTGAGTCGATCCGAGGCCAGGGACTCGTGACACTTCCTCGCGATACCGATACCACACACTCCATTTTGGTCGACATCGAGATGCTCTGCCACTGCTTCTACGAGGTCATCGGCGACGACATCCTACACGAATTGCCTTTCGTGGTTGCCGCCACGATACGTACGACAGAGGGTATAATGGACGATTCCTTCATTCGGGGAGGAATCGTCCATTATAGCCTTTAGTCACTTTTCCCCGAGCTTTCCCTCGACCGCTTCGGCCGATTGCCTGCAGCCACATACAGGAATATTGACGCTGTTTGACTGTAGCATGGAGACATCGTGCATGATGAGAAAATAGACTCCAATATTTCGCAGCTTTTCCATACGATCACTTGCGAGACATTACATTCCCCATTTTCCATATCCAGTCTCTTCTTATGCTGTTTGCCGAATGCTTAGGCCAATAACTAGAGATAGAAGGAAGCAAGTCGATGACGTTTCTTGGTACCATGAAGAAAGGGAAAAGATCATGCCTAAAAACCTTTCTTAGAACCATCAGTGAGATGTTCCCATTCGAAGTCCTTGTACCAGGCCCACCAAAGGCAATGAATGTAGCGTCTTCATGTTAGTACGAGCTCTGGAGCTCCTCGCGTTCGTTTTCGAAGCGCGGAACAGCGATGATGCATCGGAATTGGCTCGTGCTGGCTCGATTGCAAAACCGCCCGAAAGGGAGTCTTGCTTGCATTCGGCACAAATGAAAAGTGACGCCGGTCTGTGAGATCCCTCGAAGAAAGTTCCGCATCCGCAATCTATTTCAGACACACCAGACGAGGATGTCCATGAGAGGTTACGTGAAGACCTTCACCCTCACCTTCATCCTTCTCTCCTTGGAGCTGTTCCACGCCTCTTCCAGCTCTCTCGATTCCAACCCTTACGATGGCTTCATCGTGAGTTTCATCCTGCATCTTTCAACAGATCGTCTCGAAAATCACTATAGCAATGGTTCGGGGAAATGATCTCGGCAGCTCCCAATGATCAAGGCCTGGGGGAAGCCAGAAGAACGTCAGCCGTAATGTCTGCAAGTACACAGAATATGCCTATACTATGCACGCATATCCTCGTATGCCGATATGGCCATATACAAGCCAGATGGTGGAAACATGAGTTTTCTTTTGAGGCTCTATAAAACTTTCTATCAGAAATGCCCATTTTGTGAATCTTTCGTACCACAGAAACACCATAAAATTTTTAGCATGAAAGTTTTGAAGTCTCTAGGTAGTTTGGATAGAGAGGAACTTCGGTAAGAAAATTTTTAATTTTTAATTTTGCTTTTTCATCGGGAGGTAGTGGTTTCAGCATTGCTCTACAGATGTGTTCCATTTTTAGCCAAAACTCCTGCTTGCTATGGCAGCGTTCTTGCGCGCTGTCCTTGATTGTACTGTGTCAGTATGTCGTATCTTTCCAAAGAACAGTCACTGAGTTAAAAAGGTGTTTTTAAGACCCGAGAGGGAAGAGACTCCCCAGAACAGAGCCCACTATTTGATAGGAAACTCTCCCTATTCTCTTCCCTCTCCGGTACTTAAACACTAAACACACCATTAATTACCTTCCTTACCTTACCTTCTCGCCCGACGCCTAATGATACTGCACAATCAAGAATACTATGACGTGGATCCACAACATGAAAAACAGGAGACATCAAAAGACGTCTCTCCTTGAGAGACATCTTTTGAGCCAAGACTGCATCCACCTCATGTGTGGAAAAGTTACATTTTATGACTGTACTTTGAATTGCAGTCGCTTTTAAGTGAGATTACAGTTACACTTGAGACTTTCATGAAACAAATTTTATGTTTTCAATGTTAACCAAAAAATGACGAACCTAGAATTCCACAGGCCATTTCATAAGGTGTCTAACAGGACGGTTTTATTTGCGCCACCCAATATACGAGGTGTGGCTATTATGTTTCCAGACTGGTTTTATTGCTGAACTTTGAGAGAGAGGAGGGGAGTGGGGCTATGGCAGTAACATGGAGGGGAGTCTTAGCTTATAGCTGGGCAAGTTTCAATGTGGTCTGACCAGCGCGCTGCGAGCTGCGGCCAGTTAAGGTAGACCGTATTTGTTTGCGCTGGCGGATTTGAAATGGAGCATAATCTCGAGCAGAGAACTAACGTCAAATTTTGTGTTAAACTGGGAAAATCCGCAACTGAAACGCTCGAAATGTTAAGAAAAGTTTATGGTGATCATACTATGTCAAGAGCGCAAGTTTTTTTGTGGCATAAAAGGTTTAAAGAGGGAAGAGAAGACGTCAATGACGACCAGCGTTGTGGAGCGCCAATCACCAAACGAACACCTGAAAATGTCTCAAAAGTTACGGATTTAGTGCGTTCAGACAGGCGGTTGACAATTAGAATGATAGCAGAAGAGTTGAATTTAGATAAAGAAACTGTTCGACGGATTTTGAAGGATGATTTGAGCATGAGAAAGGTGACAGCGAAAATGGTGCCTCGATTGCTGACAGCTGAACAAAAACAAAGGCGATTGGACGTTTGTTTGGATCTCTCAGAAAGAGCTGGAGAAGGAAATATTTTGGAGAGAATCATCACTGGAGATGAGACATGGTGTTATCAATATGATCCGGAAACGAAACGTCAATCCCTTGAATGGAGAACTGCAAATTCACCGAGACAGAAAAAAGCCCGAATGTCGAAGTCGAAAATCAAGACGATGCTGATTTGTTTTTTTGATGTCAACGGAATCGTCCACTCCGAATTCGTCCCAGAAGGACAAACAGTCAACCAGATGTTGTACCAGAACGTTTTGAAGAGGTTGCGTGAGGCTGTGAGGAGGAAAAGGGGCGATCTGTGGAAGGAGAACTCGTGGATCTTGCATCACGATAACGCGCCGGCTCACACAGCCCTGTCTGTCCGAGAGTTTTTGGCCGCCAAACGGATCACTGAAATGGATCACCCGCCGTATTCGCCCGATTTAGCCCCCAGTGACTTTTGGCTATTTCCCAAACTCAAAAATTTTTTGAAAGGCCATCGATTTCAAAGCATTGAAGACATTCAAACAAATGTGATGCAGGCTCTGAAAGACATCCCGAAAGAAGCATTCCACTGCTGTTTCCAGCAATTGCAGCATCGTTGGGATAAGTGTATACGTTCTGGAGGGGAGTACTTTGAAGGCGATGAATGTGATTAATTTGTAAGTTTAAAAGTAAAAAATACAAAAATAAAGTCTGGAAACTTAATAGCCACACCTCGTATCTCCTTGCGACCCCCAGCTGATAAATCTCTTTGCATATGAAACTTGGATGGCAGATGCACATCGACCATCCGAGTGCATCGTACTACTTAGACACAGTGTGCTCGCTGAGATCTCCGAAGATCCGAGCCATCGCATCTCAGCCTTTCTCTCGGAATCCACTTACATCCCATTCGCGAGCATGATGGTAGTTGTAGATTTTGTGAAAGCCTCGGAATGCGGGATATCTCGTGGATTTCGAGAGATCCACGAACCACGGACGACGATCCCGAAGATGCTCAAGGGAATCTATGTGGAATGTCGTGCGATGATGCTTCGGACATGGCAGGTGATTCGAGGGTACCCGGAGACGGAGAAACAGTTGAAAGAGTTGGAGGAATTGGAGCATCGGGGAGGAGTGGATTTTTGGAAGGGACCCTCGAGTGTGGGGGAGCCGTTTGACGTGATGTTGTCACCCCAGGAAAGCACTCACGTTACCGCTTTCCTTCAACGACGAGTGAGTCAAACGTGGGCCATCGCTCACTTATAAAATAACCGCCCAAAATACGATTGTCCTTTTATAGATGAAACGCACTCGTGTGAGCAAAAAATTCGCGTTGAAAACCTGAAGAGTTTTTAAAAATATTATTATCGAAGCCTATGTGTAAAGGAAAACTCGTTCCGTGATTGAAAGAACCTCACGTTTTCCCTTTTCCTACAGACATACGCGGGAAAATCTTTATGAATTATCAGCCTGGCGAGGATTTTTTTTTTCAGCTGCCAACGAGTGACTTCTGTTTCTAATTCACCATATACATGGTGAATCAGAAACAGTGAAACCATAGAATATGAAAATTTGTTTAACGAAGGTGCAGACTAAGTTGAAACTTTGAGAGTTTGAAGAACAACTCATGGAAATAATGTCATCGGCATTTAAGTCTTGCAAATGACTATCAAGGTGCTCGTATTATTTTTTTTGGTATGAGCATGGCTCATTATTATTACGGAGGATGGGAAGCATTATCGATAAAGGCTCCCAACAATTGCGCCTAACTCCAGCGACTACACGCAGATGCTGATCGGATGTATAGCCCATCCAACAGGATGGGCTACGTGTCACGCCTTACCCTCTGGACTCGACAATCGTAGTCGATAGTGAAACCATTACTGTTTTGCAGACGCTGTTCATGGCGACGTCGTTTAAGATAGGCGTGACATTCATTAGCCCGTGGGATCGCCTCATCCCCAGCCTTTGACTTTGCTCCAATTCAGGGAGAACATGAGAATTACTGGCCATTTATCTGGTCAACTCATCCGTAGTCATGAATGTATTTCGTGCAGACGGCGTGTAAAACGAAGGAGCGGACACCTTTAGTATATTTTCGAAACCAAACTACTTGCGACCTTACCTCTTTGAGTTAATCTTCTTGTCCCTTCGTATTAGTACTCTACCGAACCAATTTATTCTGGCGCCATGTGATTGAAAAAAGAGAGCCTCCATGGATGTGATGAGCTGAAGGTGAGCATACCCCTTCAATGAATCCATGTCTAGACAGAGGAAGAAGGGAAGGAGGAATACGAGAATGCCAGACAGGGAAGACTTAAGTCCCTTTCCATTTCTCCGCAAGGAAACAACGATTTCATTCAACAATGACTTCTACATTCAATGACCCGTTCATGTCAACGTATGAGCATGCTCCGCAGCATAAATCGGCAGTGCAAGCGTTCTCTATTGCGTCATGCACAAATTTTTCCTGAAAATTCCTGCGACATTGTGCATAAGACACGCTTCAAGCAGCAGCCCGGTGGCTATCAGCCGAGGGAGCTAATAGAAAATCCTGAGCTATTTCTTAACCTCTGATTTGAATAGAGAAAGTTAATTCGATAGGATGGGTATCGGGAGAGCATTCTTCGGGGAGCCATACGGTTTTTCACGAAGAAGATAACTTTGTTTTTCTGGTCCTATCGCAGCACTCACTTCACCTAGGAAGTTTCCAAAGATTTCTAAAGTGAGATCTACATGCAGCATCTTCGAATGTTTAAGTTCATGTATGGGAGAAATCGCAACAACTTGTCATGTTCCCTCCTCGTTAAGTATCAACTCGGTTCAGTCTCGTCAATGGGAAAATAGGAGAGAGCCAAACAGCTAAGTTAGAGGGAATATTGAAGCAGACACCCATGTATCAGGAAGTCTATCACTTCATAGGCTGTTGTTGGTTCATAGGTGCAAGTTGGCCATCGCTTGGTGTTCCTCTCCATTCGATGAACCAAGTCGGAGGCAATAATCGTATCTTTCTTGGAAACTATCTTTCTTATATCTTGGAGGATGCAGTTTTATGCATGCAAGACTGAAAACTTGCTCTGACAAGTCTGTCGCAGACAGGTAAAAGGAGAGGTGTCATCCTGAATTAAAGTCGTTCTTTCCAAGATGAGGTTAGGAGAGGGAATTTGTATTCACCCGTCTGGTTTCTTATTGGCTTCCCTTCCTCCACTGTCTGGAAACGAACTCCTTGAAGGGGTTCACGCTGACCCTCAGCTCATCACGTTCATGAAGGAGGTTCTCCCTTTCTAGCACATGGGGTCAGAATCAAGTTAGTTTCATGATATACTTGGCTTACTTTTAAGGTAAATAAATATGCCCACATTCAAAGATCTCATTGTTTCTGACACGTCCAGTATTTATGGAAGAAAATGAGTATGAAAATTGACACGAAGCAATATGTCGAATAGATAAGCATTTACCCTTTATGCGCTGCAAAAAGGGAGTTTATCCTGGTTTTACGCAATATTTTCTCCGTTTTACTCTACCTTGAGGACTGATTATGCGTCATGACGGCATAAATATTTTTTCACGTATAAGGATCGTAAAACCGCTCACAGGAGACTTCGGAGTTCACAGTAAGTTCCGTCATCTGGTTTTCCTTAATGGACTTTAATTTCACCTTTGACCGTGTCGATCTAGTATAGGCTTGAACGATTGTTACCATCCCATTTCGCCTAGATCTTTAGAATAAGTTGGATGAAGGCACTGGGTCGAGTTGAACGGACTGAAGATTTGAGAAAAATGGGATGTCATATTACAGGCCATTCCTTACGAGATCACGATGGAGGACGTGGGTGCTTTGATCCGAACCAAAAGTCTTCAGCGTGTAGCCCCTTCATCCTCTTCGACTACCTTCAGTTACAATGCCTACTATAAGACGTCGGTGCTCCACGCCAAACTTCGGGATCTGGGAAATAGGTATCGCAACGTGAGCGAGATCGTGAATCTCGGCTACTCCATCTACAGGAAGGAGATCCTCGGTCTCGCCATCGCTACCGACTCGCAAGCATCCAAGATGGCCATCTTCATCGATGGAGGTGTTCACCCTCGAACGCCATATATTTTAGCCCTCTGAGGGACACGTGCGCCGAAACGTCCTCAGCGTTTTGTGCCATTTAACACGTTGACCGCAAAGGGGTTTTGGAATCGCTGTTCTTCCCTGTAGCGAATGTGACACAGGTATTTCACGTGGCAGTCAACTGTTAGAAACAGGCCCATGTTTTCCTCTAGAGGGCGAAAATCGTTTGGCCACTTCGTTCGCCTACATCAGGGCAGGGAGAGGGAAGGGGGGGGGGGGGGAGGAGGGGGAGGGGGGGGAGTTTACCAACCCGCCGAGCACCGAGGGCCTAGACCAGGGGTACTCAAAGTGGATTTTCTCTAAGGCACAATGTGAGCTGGATGCGGCCCGCGGGCCGCACTTTGAGTACCCCTGGCCTAGACTGAGGGCCTGACCAAGGGCAACGGTCCGCGAAAGATAAAAATCCACCCAAACGTCAGCTTGGAAATTAATCAATTTTTTTTTTTTTTTTAGTGAAAGATGTATTTCAATTTCAAAATTTTCGCGTTGCTCACAAGGCTGCTGACTACGTCCAATGGACTCGAATCCCTGGATAACCCGGAAATTTTGGATACTCTTTCTTAGCTACAGGACATGGACAGTAAGAGAAGGAAAAAATGATAAAGAAAAGGAAGTTCGAGGGCAGCACTTGAACTTCTCGAGAGCCGCGGGTTGATCGTCCTTGCTCTCCTCCATCAATCTCTAGAGTGGCTGAGTTCCTTTCTCGTGACCATCGACGATTGAAACCACGAAAAGACGAGATTTTGGTCCTCGCGACCTCAATTGCCACTGTTTTCCATAGATGTTCTGCGACATAGTCCAGTCTGCAAACATCTTGCATGCGAGGAGTCCTCTGCAGTTTCGTGCGCAAAGAGGCACGACATAGGTTATTTCCGCGAGAAAATGCTTTTCTGTTACTTTTGGTTTGGCAGAGACGATTCCTAAGAGGATGGCAGGACCATGGAATCTATTTGATGCCCACGTTCTCTCGCGTACTGGACACGAGAAAGACAAAAATAGGAACTCTGCAACTGAAGCCTCTATCGTTCATTTGCTTTCAGCGCGCTCTTATGTTTCACAGGCAAGATGTTCCCAATGTCCCGTTTGGTCAAGAAAACTGATCCTGATCGCTACCGCAATAAGCCTACGTTTTCTGCACGAAACTGGACTTCATTCATGTGCAGGTTAAATGGATGGAACGTCGAGAAACCGTGGTAACCGTAAATTCTCCTGTCTGACTCGTCCTCTCGATACATCATTTAGGAATCCATTTATGTCAGTTTTCGCTCTATAATCTACATCGAATCTACTACCAGACCATCGTTTTTCTAGATACCGCTCTCACCCATGGAATCTCGAGCGACTCAATGGCATGAAGCTTCGAGTCTGTAGTTTCTACCTAGGTACAGAGCGCATCGAAGAGCTGCACGAATGAGGAACTCGTGTTACGCGAACTGTCGCTCGCTGAACGCATATTCCCCTTCGTGTATCCGCACGAGGATTTTCGAACCGTCAAGTCGGTTTCTTTCTCTCCAGAACATACCGGCACCAAAGGTAAATTTTCACTGGATGAAGGGTCCAAAGATGAGTACTTGGGCTGAAGTCGGGTGCCATGTTGATGAGCACGAAACCCGGAAACTTGATTGCTCCCCGGTGAAATGCACAGGCTGTTCAGCGATCCGTGCTCAAACCCGAGTTCAGTTCCGTGCGGCTAATTCCACGCTCCCGCAGATAAAAATGATGGAGTTTGGACGGGTGAAGGAGGCTAAGTAGGAGAGGAATGGAGAGGAAATCTCTTCCCTCTCTTTTCCCCTTCCGCCTCCTTGGACTCGTCCACAGCGACAGCAAACTTTGCCTCGATGTCACCCGAGAAAAAATCCACAACACTTCTTTTTAGATTGGGGTACTTTCGGTCGACGATCTCACACGTGTCCGTCACGGGGTCGATACATAGTTTTATCCAATGAGATACTTCATGCTGCTTAAAGACTGGTGCACGACCCCGAGTGAGACGCTTCACGTTCCGTTGACGTGCAGGGATCCACGGGCGGGAATTCATAGCACCGGCGACGACGATATTCTTGGCCGAGCAGCTGCTGAGTCGTCAGTCGGATCCGACTGTGAAGGCCCTTCTCGACAACTTCAATTGGTACTTCGTGCCTCTGGTGAACCCCGATGGCTACGACCATTGTCACGATAATTTCCGGCTCTGGAGGAAGAATCTCAGCAAGAGAAGCGGGTTATTATCCATTTTGTGAGTTTTCCTACGAGTTGCTTGGTGCATCGGTTAAGCGAATGACGACTGGTTCGAGAGCGAGTGCACTCCACCATCCCCTAAAATTTCTCTCATCCGATTTCCTGCCTATATGACTGAAAGTGTTATTTGAAATGTCATATAGGCCTTTAGGCCCGCGTGCAAACGCGATTCATCAGAGTACTTCTACCTGCACGAAAATAAATCTAGACTTACATTTTACCAACAGGTTGTTTCCGCTGTCCTTCGAAGCAGGAGACAAAACGCATACACCACTCAAAATTCGAAGTGGATCAGTATCGATTTCGTGGGTAGTGACGAAGGTGAAAAAAACATGGCGCATATTGGGTACATGCGCTCGAACCACTTTATATCCGATCGTTCGGAAACCCAGTTCACTGCAAACAAGCGATTCAGGCTGCACGAAGTCAAATGATTGTACTGGACCAATGTAACATTATTTATGACAGTGATCCACTTCGAATATTGAGTGATGTAACAAAATATAGGACAGAAGAGGAGAATGGGAAAATAAAGAACAATATGCCCCTACTTTTCAATGCTTTTTTGAGAACCCGATGGACATTTCCTGACGCGACCCAATCGGCTCGCTTATGAGTCGATCGAATCGATGAGAGCAGGGGCCGTATTCTATTAAAATCTTAAACTTAGTTAAAGCAAATCGCTCAACCTCGGCCATGCATTTGAATGGGGCAAATACCAGCTAAGCAACTTGCTAAGAGGAAACTCGCACTTAAGAACGCAATAGAATACGGCCCCAGGTCTAAATCTTAAACTTAGTTAAAGCAAATCGCTCAACCTCGGCCATGCATTTGAATGGGGCAAATACCAGCTAAGCAACTTGCTAAGAGGAAAATCGCACTTAAGAACGCAATAGAATACGGCCCCAGGTCTATGTCTATAAGATTGTAAAAATGCAATGCGATTAAGACAGACTCTGCGACTCCGATGGATTGCCAGGATTCCACCAGTCGTTACGTGCGGATGCCCTCACTGTAGTCAAACGTGACAGGTGACTTTGCATACTAAAAAATACATTCACTCGTCTCCTCGGCGTGACAGGTGCAAAGGCGTGGACTTGAATCGCAACTTCAACTTTAGCTGGGGTGGAAGAGGGTCCTCGAAGACGCCCTGTGACGAGACCTATGCAGGTCCGTCACCCTTCTCGGAACCGGAGAGCCGGGCCATTGGGCACTTCCTCCTCTCCAAGAAGCCAAACGTCCTCGCTTACATCACCGTCCACAGCTACGGCCAGTATTTCATCTTCCCTTGGGGACACAACGGCAGCAAACCCGCCAACCACGACGATTTGCAGAGGCTCGGCGAGATTTATGTGTCTGCCGTGCAAAACCAGAGTGGCTACATCTATCGGACAGGAAATGCCGGTACGTCTCGAACGGTAGAACTAAATGAATTGCATTTCACTCAGAGTAGCACGATGAGATGCGGTAGGCTTACACGGCTGAGAGAAATGTGGAAAGATATAAGTTCCCATGGATTTTAATAGTTAAAATAAAAATAAAATAGAACCAGTGTTATAGGTTCTATTCGGGAAGCAATTTTCTGCGGTACGAGCCTCCTCGTCTAAAACCTATAATTCGGCGAACTGAATGTGTCAGTGAATGAATTTTCAGTGAAACGGCCTGCTCCCGATTCAAACTCAAGGCGGGATGACCACCACCACCAACTTGAATGGCGGCTCCTTCACAACAGAGTTCCATTCAACCAACTTTATAAACATTTGGGGCATGACATTTTTAGTCAAATGTCAACATGGGACAGTGGAAAAATGAGAAGGGGATCCGGCTACCTCAGAGAGGGAGAGGCTCAGAGATCGCCATCCGGCAAATGCCAGCTGAAGCATTGAAACAATGTTGGAGACATCTATTATAAGTTGAATCTGCCCATACTCCCATGGCACCAGAGTTCAATGGAGAAATCCGGAGATAGGAAAGCAGGAATATCATGCGCTTTACACTTACAACGAGATTATGCTTCCTAGCACAGTTACCTGCGACTCCAATGACCTAAACTTTCTAAATTTATTAAGTAATCTCTCTGGAAACGTCAATTTTGTGTTTCAGACATTCATCCTCAGGAGTGTTGAAATGGAATGTATACGGAAAGCATATGGCTAAAATGCAGGCTTCAGGTTAAATTTTCCCTTGATCCATCCGCATTCTCAGTTGCTACTTGCCATTCATCACAGATATTGCCATTCATCACAGGATATTGCGTTGCGAGTGATTATACGTGTCATGTGAGAGGATCCTATTACCTCCTTGCGCGGTATCGGATGTATTATGTTTTTAAGGACACATTTTTCTTGAAGATCATGTGTATATTTTCCACTCCTGATCGTTCCTTTCCTCTCCTTCCTAGATCATGTAATTTGTGCCTAAAGCCAAGTGAGGTAGTGTGGGAGTGTTACTTGGTAGAGGTCTTCTGAAATCTTCAGTTTTTCTTGTCACGAACTCGTCTTGGAAATTTTCAATATCCTTGAAACCCTGAAGATGCATTAAATGCAAGAATGAGAACTGATCAGATTATAACATATATCTGATGAGCGACCTACCTGATGGCTAGCCTGTTCTGCTTCTTTATCGTACCTTGTATTGACCTATAGATTTTTTTTTTCTCGGCAGCAACGACTCTATATCCAGCATCCGGGACATCGGAGGACTGGGCCAAAGCAGAAGCTGGCGCAAAATACGCCTACACATTGGAACTCCGAGACACAGGAAAATATGGGTTCCTACTGCCTGCATCAGAAATCATGCCAGTAGGACAAGAAAACTGGGCCGGTCTGATGGCATTCGCCACAGAGTTAACTCGGAGGCACCCGTACGTACCCCAAGACAAGAATGAAGACCCGTCGACCAACGAAATCACCGAGAAACCTTCTGTGGGGACGCAAGGTTTTTTCGCGAAAATGATCGACCTGTTTCTTGGACTCCTGGGAAGCATTGGCGGCAGCTAAAGGTTCCAGGCAAAATGTGTTGGAACGGCATTGGTAGAATCTCTCGTTACCCCAAATGTTCTAATGGAAAACACAAGAATTATTATATCGTATCCACTGACTGAAGGAAAAAAAATCCATGCCCCGCTCTCTCTTTAAAAAAAAAATAAATAAATAAATAACCGGTAATGTAAGTTTGCCTCTTTTTTTTTAACCAATGGCAGGATCTACAGGGAAGAAATAAAAATGTTAGAGCTAATAAATGCATTACTCAGCATGAATATACTGATATTTCCTTTTAAGAATTGGGCGTCTCACTTATGTGGACTCGGTTGAGCCAGTAATACCAGTGCACAGTTTCAGGTCGAAGAATCAGAATTCTGACCATTCCTACTTACTCAAATGCTCCTAGGTTTATATTTACGTAAAAAAAAAGGAAAACAAGACACATTCCTGGGGCTGTATTTTTAGGGTGTTAGGTAAGGGACTCAGTTATAATTTTTAAATAACTCACAAGTAACAGACAGGAAATAAAAATCTTTAGAATGAAATGATTGTTCAATTCTGGTTTCTTCTGGGAATAAACAGGCAGCATTGACTTACAGGGTGTTTCAATTAACTATCAAAGCACTCAATATTCAAAGTAGCCACCATCCTTGCATTTGTGATTCTGGTGGACACGTGCGTAACAGTATCTGATGATCGCAGAGGGAATTGCGGCACTTTTCCCCTTCCTCCGACTGATACGGGTCTTGGGGGTTTCAAACACACAGGTACACTTTTCCTTTGAGGCATCCCCAAACGAAAACAAGCACTAGATCAGGGCTACGACTTCCCTCTCAGCAAAGAGCTTAGTCTCGTTTAAATGCATGGCCGAAGATGAGCAATTTGCTAAGAATAAGTCTAAGATTTTAATTAAATACGGCCCCTGATCTTCAAAAGAATAACAAGATGATACTAAGCGCTCCGAAACCGACGACCTTCCTAAAAATCGGGATCCGCAAGGATACAACGAAAGAAGCACACAGTACAGGAACAGAAAACGAGAACCCCCGAACTGGAATCTAATGAAGAGAAATATTTGAGAGAATTTAAAGGAGTTCTTTGTTTCGGGGAAGTAAATTCCACTTCGTCGGGAGAGAAGGGCTTAGATCTAGACGGAAAGAAAGAGAACAATTATATTATTATGCCATTTAAACCATGAAATAATTCATTCACTTAACTGAAGCATGTACAGGAATAGGCTAATATGTATTGGTACCACCAGCCTTGGTTAGTCACCCTACATACTACCATTGAGCATTATATCTTCTGTCTCAATATCGCTCATCATCATTAAATTCTCTGATCATACTCGCTGAGCACTGGCTGTCTTTTCATCATTTTCAGGAAAAATTAGAAGGAACAAGAGGAAAATCCCGTCAGTATCAATGGCAAAGAGTTGCCTAAATACAAACTAATATGGCATCCAAGAACACCACAGGCAAGAGTGGTATGACGATAGTACGAGTCTTCGCTCAGTGAACTTGAGTCGAATTCACAGCCTGTTTCCCTTACCAGGGTAGAAGAAAATTCATTACCATCAGCTTACATATCAAATCTCTTCCTTGGCACTTTCCTCCACTCTGATGATGCATCCACACCGTTGAAATGAATTTGTTGAAGGGAAATGTTTTGCTATTTAATTCATTCTGTACAGAAAAGTACGTCACATAGAATAGAAGCTTCAAATAGCCGGTACCAGCCCCCAAAAAATATTAATTTGTGACAACTCCTGTCACATGATGGTGTGCTTGGGGTCTAAATAGGGGCATTTTGAGTCAGAGTTCACATTTAATGTTCAAGGTGTCAAAGTAAAGTGTGCTAAGATCCAATATGACAACCTTATTCAAAATGGATGCCCTATTCCCGATTTTACATTAAATGGTAAATACTGACAACTGCAGAAGTAAGGAGTAAATTAATTTCCAATAAATTATTTCAGCTGAATTTTGAGGTTGGAAAGTCCAGGCTGAAAATTTAATATATCAGGAGTTCTCATCCACTAAAAATTAATGTTTTAGGCTGGCTTTCTCTTGTAGATTGGTTGGAATAAAGTATATCAAAACTATGACGGGAGAAATAATTAAAACAGTGGATTTATTCCAAGTTGAATTGATTTTATCAAAGGAAGGGTCTCTACCCGGACCCTCTTACGAACCCAAACCCTTGGCCTTCATTGGAGAAAGAGGCAGGACGAGAAACTCAAAAGGAATTGTAGTCCTCTCTCCATTTTCAATATCTGATTTCTTTTTGAGTAATTATTCATTGTCTAAACTATCCAATATTAATTTAGACGAAATTTCAAATGACTGTTCGAAGCATATCAATCTGCACATAGTGCAAGTTTAGTAAAACTAGCTTCAGTGAGAGCAGAGATATACAGGGTGTCCCATAAGTCACTATACTATTTCAAGAAATATAATGTACTAAACAATTGGTGCAAAAAAGAAGTAACATTAACTGAACAATAGAAAGTCACTTGGAATTATCTTTGTCAAAAATGGAGGCAATTCTGAGTTTTGAAAGTGTCTCAATTCGCCTATATCAATATACTTGACACAAGGCTTGGCACCAAAAAAATCGTTGAAATTCCCTTTGAACTCAAACAGGACTCTCAAAGACCTCCATTCAGATGGAAACTTTTCTTTGTTGTTCCAGCATGACAGAGAAATTAAAAATTAAACTAAATGATTTTTTTCTGTTTCTCAGGTCAATCTGAAATTAGGAGAGAAAAACATGAAGTTTAGCAAATTTGTAAAAGAGGATTCAACAAGGTGTACCATGAATCGCCCTAAACAGGTACACCATTCTAATGTGCATTCAAAGCAATTTCCAATTGAGTCTTGTACCAAGTCATGATAAGACAGTGGTTCCCAAACTGTGGGTCAGGATTCAAAGAAGTCTGGGGACCACTGTGATAAGAGATGCTGGTAAGTGAGAACTGCAAGCCATGGCTCAAACAACCATGGGAGTTGACTGAATTAGTATTTGTGATCCAAATGGCCTGGTGCTGAGTGATGCAAGAACTGAGTCACATGAGACTCCATGGAACATTGATCAATGAAGTATATACAGCATGATTCTGACTTTTGCCATGTATTATACATACCCCAGGTTATGCTGAACCCCATATCCAGCCAGACACTCTATCTGGTACATCACTAACATTGAATATTTATCTTGATTCAAAAGTGGATCTTTATCTTTTGTCTGCAGGAGTACAAATCTGTGAGAAGAGATAATGAAGATGATACAATATTTATCAAGAAAGATCCCAAAATTTAAACTTTATTTCCCATCAGCTGTCACATCAGATACACCAATTTCAATCGAATCAGTATTATCTGATGGAGACTTTGGAGCATCAATTCTACATGCACCCTCATCACTTTTCACCTTGTCTTTATGATTGGATATGCCATCACCACCAACCTCATTCAGGTTGTACTTCTTATATTGATCATAATCAGGAAGAATGCTGAGACAACTTGTGTTCTGGATTACATTAACAAGAACAGTCAGTTGAGGGTGATTTAGATCCACCTTGTTGGCTGGGTTGATGTCCCTGATAACTCGGGCTAGAGCTGGTATGACCTCATCCCTACTTACTTGGTCTGTGTTGCGGATCTTCACTAGGATCTCATAGGTCTTTGGATCCAGGAGGGAAAAGTGCTTCTTTGCTAAAAGCTTGAAAGAATCTGTCATGTCCAGAATCTTTGGTTTGCAGGTGCAGTCCACTGGAATGAATCTCATGATATATCTGCTCCTCCGACCAGTTTCAGCTACATTTTGCACAATGTGAAGGCCAAGTTGAAATGGATCTGGCAAGGTTGTTTTGACAAAGATGCAGTTATTTGCCCCAGACTGAACTTGTTGAAAGCGCTTCTCATTAGTGTTTTCATGCTTGAGTTCAGACAGTTCTTTCTCAAAATCATCTTCTACATCTTCCTTTGACACTTCAGTGACCTCATTTGCTTTTGGGTACAACTTATCGGCATATTCATTAAGGAGGTTGTATGCTTCCCTCACACACTCTTTCTCCCTCTTGTTGCATGTGATTAAGAAGCCCTTGAGCCCTGGCTCCAAAGCATTCTTTCGGGGCTTTTTAGATCCCTGGAAGTAATGACTCTTCTTCCGCTTCTTGCCCATTGTGCCTAACCACCGTGGAGAGTGGAAATGAAAGTCACAACATCTCCATCTTTCAGTTCACAGTCTAACTGCCCCAACAGCTCCCAATCAGAGTCATTCACCAAAACCAAAATGCCTGGACGCACTGAACCGTTTTGAAGAAACAATTCCTGTTTACCCTTAATTAAGTTATCCCTTATCCAGGATAACAGACGCTTGATGGTCCACACTTTTGATTCACTTGTGGACAAATTCACTTTGTGTCTTTTCACATTATTGAAGAGCAGTTCAGCACCACCTGTAAATTCCACATTCACCAACAAGGATTCAGATGCCATCTTCCTCCATCACCTCAGAAACTGAAGACATTTGCTTGCAGCAAGGAAGGATCTAGAAGCACAGAAAAGCTACTACATACATTTTGGTTGTGGAACTTATAAGATTATTAAATGAATTTACAAACGAGAGCAATGCAAATGCATGGAAAGCAAGGCCTAGTAGCCCTACAAAATAACTGGGCCTAGGCCAACTTTGCTTCACTTGCACTTAGTCTATACAGCCTATCATCATGATTTTTTTTTTAATACAACAGGCTGGGGTATAGGGAAGACACCCTTCCTTGATCACAGAATACAGGTTGTAAGCGATTTACAGAAAGAATATCAGTTTAGCTCATTTTTCATTAGGATACCTGTAGTTTACTAAAAATGAATATCTGTCTTGGTGGATTTTTTAAAATACCAAATGCATCACTTTAGACAGAAGCTACTTGCTGCATACTGGCCTTGGGTGAAGTTTTGCATTTGTCAATCCTGAATAATAAAAAACTCTCTTTGTCTCCTCTGATGCAGCATACTCAGGACAACTCCTGCAGAAGTTTCAACACATAAATGCAAGGAAGATGGAAATGTTTGACCTGTCTGCTGCTTCTCCACTAGTCTTTATTATTGTAATGGTGTATTACTCCAGTTTTAATATAGATCAAGCTTCCCAATGATCCATATATCCCATCCATGTCCATGCTAAACTTCACAGTGCAACTTTAATAGTTTGGGAAAATCACTGTGAGAACAAAGCCTATCAAATATTAACTTTACTCAGAAGACACAATTCTGGTTTACTCCTTGAATGCATTTAAATGAAAGTCTAACATATCTGGTTACATTACTACACCTACCTAACATGCCAAACCTCATTGTTGGACTGGCACAGAAAGGTTAGTTACATATATTCATCTTTTCCGACGGTGAAACGAATTATTCCGATTTCATTCAGACACGGTACAAGAAGAAATAAAGAATGAAATCGTCAAATAAAAATCTGAATGGCCCCATGAGGGAGAATGGAGGGTTGGGAGGAATTACAGGCCCTTACGCAAGCGGCATGCAAAGGGCAGGTACACTAGGCCTGCACCTACG